CCATCCTATGGCCATCATGTCCTCTCGGGCCGCCAGAGTGTGGGGCTGCCCTTCTTACTTTGCACACTTCTGGTCAGGGGCCCAGTCCTGGCTCCAGCCCTGGGACTCGCCCTTGCTCTTCTTCTTCGGTCCAGCGCTGACAGTGGCTTCTGGCTCTTGCCACCTGCTGTGTGGGTGCGTCACTTCCTCTTCTTCCTGCTGGAATCTTTGCAAAGAGGACCCGCATGCGCATTCTCTCTCACCCTTGTCCCTTTGGGGGCAAGTGTTTAGACATTTGGCCAAAGAGTGATTCTGAGAATTTTCAGCCGGAACTTTTGTTTTAATTTGTAGATTTACATTTATTTTATTTGAGAGGCAGAGAGAGAGAGGGAGAGAGAGAGAGAAAGAAAGAGAGAGAGAGGGAATCTTCCATTAGCTGATTTAGTTCCCAAATGCCCACAATAGCTGGGGCTGGACCAGGCTGAAACCCATCTGGGTCTCCCACATGGGTGGCAGGGCCCCAAGCACTTGGGCCATCATCTGCTACCCCCCCTCCCCAGGGAGCAAATTAGCAGGAAGCTGGTTGGAAGCAGAGCTGGGTTTCAACCCCAGGTGCTCTGCTGGTGGGATGCAGGTGGTCCAGACAGCATCGTAACTGCTATGCCAAATGCCTGCCTCCTGCTGGAATTTTCAAAACTGATTTAGATACTTAGCAACAGGAATTTATTAAACAGGTCAGGAACTGCAGAGGGACCTGACATTAACTACCTTTACCTTGGGCCGGCGCCGCGGCTCAATAGGCTAATCCTCCGCCTTGTGGCGCCGGCACACCAGGTTCTAGTCCCGGTTGGGGGGCTGGATTCTGTCCCGGTTGCCCCTGTTCCAGGCCAGCTCTCTGCTGTGGCCAGGGAGTGCAGTGGAGGATGGCCCAAGTGCTTGGGCCCTGCACCCCATGGGAGACCAGGAGAAGTACCTGGCTCCTGCCATCGGATCAGCGCGGTGCGCCGGCGGCCATTGGAGGGTGAACCAACGGCAAAGGAAGACCTTTCTGTCTGTCTCTCTCTCTCACTGTCCACTCTGCCTGTCCAAAAAAAAAAAAAAAAACCTACCTTTACCTTGGATCTTCTCATGATCACATCACAGGGTAAACAAGAAGTTTTAGCTAAATGCTGCAATTGCTCCGTGTAATTTATTTAATTAGATGACTCTCCCTGGAAGGCAGACCTTACGTTTTCCAAGTAGAAAGAACCCAGAGTATACAGTAGAGGACCCAGGACTCTGAAATGTGGTTGAGCAGCTGACAACGGCATCATTCAGAAATAGACTCTGCGAATGTGCCTGGGAAAGTAGTGGAAGATGGCCCAAGTCCTTGGGCCCCTGCCACCCACTGGGAGACGGATGGAGTCCCAGGCTTCTAGTTTTGGCCTGGCTCAACCCTGACTGTTGTGGCTGTTTGGGGATTGAACCAGTGGATAGAAGACTCTCTCTCTCTCTCTCTCTCTCTCTCTCTCTCTCTTTCTTTCTCAATTTCTCTCTTCTCTGTCACTGCTTTTCAGGTAAATAAATAAATCTTTTTCAAAAATAAACCTTTGACGGGCCGGCACCGTGGCTCAATAGGCTAATCCTCCACCTTGCGGCGCCGGCACACCGGGTTCTAGTCCCGGTCAGGGCGCCGGATTCTGTCCCGGTTGCCCCTCTTCCAGGCCAGCTCTCTGCTATGGCCAGGGAGTGCAGTGGAGGATGGCCCAGGTGCTTGGGCCCTGCATCCCATGGGAGACCAGGAAAAGCACCTGGATCCTGGCTCCTGCCATCGGATCAGCGCGGTGCGCCGGCTGCAGCGGCGGCCATTGGAGGGTGAACCAACGGCAAAGGAAGACCTTTCTCTCTGTCTCTCTCTCTCACTGTCCACTCTGCCTGTCAAAAAAAAAAAAAAAAAAAAAGTATCTTAAAAATAAACCTTTGACATGTTCATGGTAAATGTTCTCCCAAAGAAATTGGGTGGAACTCATCCTGGTCCAGCTCTATGTCCTTGGCACTGTGAGGACAAGGGACTCTGATGGAAGATTCCGGATACTGTTAGGAGGTTGTGCTAAGGCACGCAGAGCTCTCTTCTGGACTTGGAGTAACACGAGAAGTTGTAACTCGTTCTCCAAAGGACTAAGAGAAACCCGATTGCTCTGCTGGTCCAGGAAGAGGTGAATACGTCTTCCAGGTGGCTTTGAACTGAGAGGCGGAAGGAAAGGTTTCCGTGTGGAAGGGAGGCACCAGGAAAGCCGCCGAGGCGGGCAGTGGCTCTCTCCTTCCAAGACAAGCGAGGAACAGAGTTGCATGACGGAGATCAGGGTGGAGACCCGGCTGGAGGACAGACTGAGCAGGTCTGTACGTGCTGGGCCAAGGACGTCGTACGTCATCCTGCAAGCCAGCAGCTCAACGGTGTCTCCCAGAAAGATACGTTGCGTCCCGGCCTCTGTGGGGGACACTGCTTTGTCTTTGCAGACAGGAGCAAGTGCAGATGGCATCCTCAGAGTGCGCCCTGCTCCGGTAGGGCTGGTGTCCCTGTGGGGAGAGGAGAAGGCCATCGGGGACAAAGCTGGGAAGAGCGAGGCAGGATTCCACCAAGAGTCTCGGAAAAGCCTGGTCCTGGCGACAGCTTGATTTGGGGCTTCCAGCCAAATATTCCAGGCATAAAGCTGTTGCTGTTTAAAGCCGCCTCACGTATCACACTTGGTTATGTGCTTACGTACGTACTTGTAGGGACCAAAGATTCTTATACAATCCTGGGAGGAAGTAGACCGAGGGGACAACAATCAGGGGTGCAGGCAGTTGCTCCGACCTAGAGACCTTGCCCTCTCTTTCACGGTCAAATGTCGCAAAGGGAGAGACCCTGTAGATGAAACCGGAGCCGTGAGCCTCCAATGGCGGATTGACGCTGACAACTGATGATAGTCTTGCATGGCAGGAAAATTGCTTTGAGGAGGACCGACTAGGGGAGTCCAGTACGCAGGGTGGCAGGGTGTGGGGTTAGCCAGGCGAGAGATGGCACAAAGGCAGATGGAGTAAAACAAGAAGAGAGGAGGGACTTGGGAGACCCAGCTAGGAAGTGAGGAGCCAGTTGCAAGGGGCACTTCACAGGCGGCGGTGGGAATGAGCGAGCCCCTGGAAACCCAGTGTCGGAAAACAGCAGTGCCGGGTTCTTGTGGATCTCAGTGTTGCTTGTGGCTGGCTGATGCAGGCTGGCCTCAGCCACATGACCCTGTTTCAGGCCTGGGCAGCAGGAAGACCCGTGCTTCTGGTTGAACATCTGCAGCCCGGAAGGATCGGTGTTGCTTCTGTCCCTCCTCCGGCAGGGCAGACGGGCGAGAGGGCAAGTTCAAGCCCGTGCAGCCTCCACCGACGGGGCTCAGAGCGGGTCCGTCGCCTGCCCCATTGGTTTCCGCTGGCCCAGGGAGGTCACACGACCACGTCCAAAGTCTGGAGGCGGGAAGTGCACACCTTCCATGAAACGGCTGTGGAAGTGGTGTGGATATAGGAGGGGTGAGGATTCCAGGCTAGTCATTCAGATGACAACAGTGGTCCCCCGACCCCAATTATCCATGCTTCCCAGACGCAACACTTGATCCCAGCCTCACTCAATCTCACAGCACTGGGCTGAAAACCAAGGTTTCAAAGTGTCTCCGTGTGAACTCAGAGACCTGTGCTAATAGACGGGTTAGGGTCCCTGTATGTGCCCAACACAGAGTGCGGGATGCAGGGAGAAGACACACAGGACAGGGCCGGGCATCGTGGCGCAGAGCGGGAAGCTGCCGCTGGCCACTCCTGCATCCCGTCTGAGACTTGGCTGCTCCACTTCCACTCCAGTTCCCCACAAACGCACCTGGGAAAGCAGCAGGTGTTGGCCCAAGAACTTGAGTTCCTGCCGCCCTTGGGGTTCAGGCCCCTGGCTTCAGCACTTGTGGCCATTTGGGGAGTGAACCAGTGGATGGGAGATTTCTCTTTATCACTCTGCCTTTCAAATAAATAAAGGAAGAGACCATACAAGGAGAAGACAATGCTACAAACATTTCTCTTAGAAAAAGGGGAGGAGGAAAGCCCTGTGGCCATTTGGAAATGTCACCCCGAGGGGAAGGTTCCTTCCTCACATCTGGGCTCTGCTCACTGAGAACGACTTCACTAATCACCCCTGCTTTTTTAAAATATGCATTTTTTCCATTTCATTTGAAAAGCTGACACAGAGAGCGCGCGCAAGTGAGTTTCCATCCACTGGTTCACGCTGTAAAAACCTTGGATAGCTCAGTCTGGGCCAGGTCAAAGCCAGGGGTTAGAGTTCAATCCAGGTGTCCCGGTTCACCAACCGCCCCCTCCGCAGCGCCTTCCCGCAGCTGAGCCGACCCGCAGCCGCGCTCTATGGCAGTCTTCCCGCGTCGCAGCCCACTGCTCCACCGCAGTACGCCGCCAGCCGACACGCCCCTCGGCCTCTCCAGCGCCCAAGCGCTAAAGGCCCGTCCTCGCTCCAGCCATCTTGCGCTCGCGTCTGCGCACTCCGCCCCTCGGCCGGCGTGAGAAAAGGCTCGCGCCGCTCCCGAGTACCTAGGACCCAGGACAGAGAAGCGCGAAAAAGCTCCCCGAGCGGCAGTGCGCAGGCGCGACCGAGATCCTCGCTGTCCGCGGCCTGGTCCCTGGTGGTGCTGGTGACCTGCCGGGCGAATCGCTGTCCGGTGGGGGGCGCTGCTGGAGGGCGCCGGAGGCGGGTTGGGAGGGTTGGGCTTCTTGGAGACGGGTGTAGGGTATGGGTCGCCGCTCTAAGGGGTGGGTCGTGGGCTGGCCCGGGAGTGCCGCGAAGTGCGATGGGGATGGGGCGGGAGCGGCTCGGGGCGCCACCCGGGGGCGCGGACCCGATAAGGCGGGTGACAGCGGGCGGGGAGGGGCGGGCAGCGCCGCGTCCACGCCTCACGCTCCGGGCCGGGCTAGAGAGGGTCCCGGGCTTGGTGTGCGCCGGGCCGGCAGGCTGAGGTGCACGGGTCGCTAGCGGCGCCATGCGCGGCCCCGCGGCCTGGCCGCTTCTGCTGCTCGTGCGGCGGAGCCCGGCGGGGCCGGGGCGGCTCCTGCCGGCTGCCGGCATGTGGACCGCGGCCACCCGTGCCCCAGGGTCTCTGCCGCCGCTGCCGGGCCTGAGCCCGGCGCGGCCCTGGGGCGCAGGGCCGGGGCTTGTCGCGGGCGCCGGGGCCGCGCGCCGCTGCAGGAGCGGCCGCCCGGGTTGGGGTCTCAGGGGCCCGGGCGGCAGCGCGGCAGCCGTGCGCCTTCTGGGGCTGTGGGCTCGGCCCCTCGGCGCCTGCAGGTGCGGAGCGCTTATCCGGCCGGGTGCTCCCCGGCTCCTGCGCACTGGGCTCCCCGGCGGCCCCGCGGCCGCTGCCCGGGCGGGAGGCGAGGCCTGGCGGCGCGGATCGGCGGCGACGGCAGAAGAGGACTCGCGGCTGCGCCCCGCGGCGGCGGCCGGGCGCTCGGAGGCCCGGAAGCTCCTGGAGCTGGCGTATCCCGAGCGCCGGAGACTGGCAGGTAGGGTCCCCCGCCCGGCGCGCTGCTGGGGCGGCTCCACCTGCAGGTGCCCAGGCAGCGGAGAGAGCTGTCCCCCGGCCTGTGCTGGGCCTCCCGCAGCCCGGGAGGAGACGGGATGGGTGCTGGAACCTTGAGGTCTGTTCGGCCACAGCTTAGTAGGAAAATCCGTTCTGGCTTTGACAAGCATTCTCGGGCTGAGCTGGGACCGTGTTTTCCTCTTTTTACAAACAGGAATTCTGGCCCGAGGTATGCCTTTATGCTGGGGTTTCAAAATTATTTTCATTACGCAAGTGTATCAAGCAGTCCACATTACTGTAGGGTGTGAAGGAAAACGGTCTAAACGCTCAAGAGTTTTGTGCTGTTGTCTCCCTGAGTGGCCAGGAGAAAGTTACAGCGCTCTGTTCAGGGCAGTCCACATTGGCCATGGGATTGTAGATGATATCCCAGCTAAACCGCAATTCATTTTTTACATTTTTAAAATTAACTTATCTTCCAAAGATTTATTTGTTAAAAAGGCAGAGTTTCAGAGAGAGAGAGAGGCAGAGAGTCTTCCAGGTTCACTCCTGGTTCACTCCCCAGAAGGCTGCAATGCCCACAGGAGCCAGGAGTTTCATTCACGTCTCCCACGTGAGTGCAGGGGTGCAAGCATTGGGCCATCGTGCACTGCTTTTCCCAGGCCAGCAGCAGGGAGTTGGATCCCAAGTGGAGCAACTGGAATCTGAACTGCAGCCCGTTATGGGATGCTGGCTTTAAATTTTTTTTTTTTTTTACTAATTTGATAGAGTTACACAGAGAGGGAGAGACAGAGAAAAAGAGATCTTCCGTTTTCTGGTTTACTCCCCAAAGAGCCACAATGACTGGGGCTGGGCCAGGCTGAAGCCAGGAGCCCAGAACTACTTCTGGGTCTCCTGTAAAGGTGGCAGGGACCCAAGTACTTGAGCCGTCTTCTGCTGCTTTCCCAGGCATGTTAGCAGGGAGCTGGATCAGAGCGGGAGCAGCCAGGACTCGAACCTGTGCTCTTTGGGGACGCTGGTGCTGCAGGCCACAGCTCATGCTCAAGTTGCTGTGCCACAACACCGGCCCCTGAAATTCATTGTTTTAAGAAATCAAAACAAGGGAGGGGCTGGTGCTGTGGCATAGCAGGTAAAGCTGCCGCCTGCAGGGCCAGCATCCCATGTGGGCCTTGGTTCGAGTCCCGGCTGCTCCACTGCCACTCCAGTTCTCTGTTATAACCTGAGAAAGCAGCAGCAGATGGCTCAAGTGCTTGGGCCACTGCATCCGTGTGGGAGACCCTGAAGAAGTTCCTGGCTCCTGGCTTCAGATCGGCACAGCCATGTGGAAAGTGAACCAGCGGATGGAAGACCTGCACCCTCCCACCCCACCTCACCCAATACCACTGCTGCCTCTGTCTCTCTGCAACTCTGTCTTTCAAATAAATAATTGTTTTTTGTTTGGTTTGGTGTTTTGTTTTTTTCTTTTTTTTAAAGAGGGGCCCAAATTGTGGTGCAGTGAGCTAAGCTGCCATCTGGAGTCTCAGCTTCTCCACTTCCTATCCAGCTCTCTGATAATTTGCCTGGAAAAGCAGTGGAAGGTGGCCCAGTGCCTGGGTCCCCGCCAGCCTCATGGGAGACTTGAATGGAGTTCCTGACTCCTGGCTTCAGCCTGGCCCGGCCCCAGCCTTTGTGGCCATTTGGGGAGTGAACCAGTGGATGGAAGATCTCATTCTCTCTGTGTAACTGCCTCTCAAACAAATCTTTTTTTAAAAAAATTGAATGCTTTCAAGTGAAACTAACCAGTAATTCTGTTAGCCACGATTGAAAGAATATTTAAATGCAAGAGCCTCCTAGTATTAAAACTTTTAAAAAAAATCTTCACTTCATAGAAATGTGTTGAGCCTTTGTTACATGCTTGCTCCTGGGTTTACACTTAGAACTGAAAAGAAACGTGGTCCCTGATCTGCCTGGGGCTTCCAGCATAACAGAAAGAAACACTAAGAAAATATTTGTATGACCAGATAGATATAGATAGATAGACAGATAGATAGATAGATAGATATCTAGAGATTGTCTGGATAGGTAAAGTCTGTCTGGATGTTGGCATTTGTAGCAATAAGAGGAAGTGGGAGGTCTTTGTTAATTTGTAACTTGTCCTCAGAGCATCCTCAGAAGTTGATACATATCTTTGAAATGCCCACAGCCGGCACACCGGGTTCTGGTCCCGGTCAGGGCACCGGATTCTGTCCCGGTTGCCCCTCTTCCAGGCCAGCTCTCTGTGCTGTGGCCAGGGAGTGCAGTGGAGGATGGCCCAGGTCCTTGGGCCCTGCACCCCATGGGAGACCAGGAGAAGCACCTGGCTCTTGGCTTCGGATCAGTGTGGTGCGCCGGCCACAGCGCGCCAGCCGCGGCGGCCATTGGAGGGTGAACCCCAAGGAAGACCTTTCTTTCTCTCTCTCACTGTCCACTCTGCCTGTAAAAAAAAAAAAAAAAAAAAAAAAAAAAAAGTGGTATTGTGTGCACATTTTAAAGTCAGAAGACCAAAAAATAAAACAAAATTAAAGCAATGTTGAGTTGAATGTTAATCTTTTGGAAAACAAATAAGAATCAGTTTCCAAAAATGTGCTGTATATTCAAATACTGATACTTTCATCCATCTTCAGTGTGCTGACTGTGCCCTCTGAGCTGTGCAGTAAGAGACCCTTGATGTGAAGTGGTTTGTGTCAGAAACTTTGCAGGCAGGGTGTTCCCATGGGAAGTTTCCCGATGCCTCATACGCATGACTTCCATTCCTCTTCCAAACGAGCTGCCCCTTAACCCCTGCTGCCCCATTCTCACTTCGTGTGGGAACCTGCAGCTGTTTTCCCAACCTTGCATCCACGGAACTGCCCCGGAGTCCGTTTGGACCTAGTAATTCTTCATCTTAGCACTTTGGCCAGAAGGAGTCCTGAAAGCTGCAGGAGGGGCAGAGCGTGGGCCGGTGAGATAAGAGGCATTTCATCAGAGCCTTCTTGCTGTGCCTGGCAGATAGAGGCCCTGCAGCGTGCTTGGGGCAGGGTCTTAGGAGTGAGCAGCAAGAGGGCCCCCAGAGAGGGTTCCCATAGGAGAACGCTGCCAGCATGGAGGTTTGGGGGGGGGGGGCTCGGTCAGCAGGGTCAGCTTCCCAGATGGACTGGGGACAGCAGACTTCGACCCTGCCTGCCCCCCAAATTACTGACAAGGGATTGTGTGGCTGGAGATTGGGTCCCTTCCTGGAACCTGTCGCCTGCTTGTAGCTTTGTGAGTCTGTAGTTATCGTTTGTGAAGTGCCCACAGTGAACAGTACAGGGGGCACAGTAAGCAAGGTGGAGGTGAGGAACGCTCAGAGGTGCTGCCTCCTGAAGCCAGTCAGGACAGTGGCCTGCCAAGACCAGGGCACTGTGGATCAGGAGGACGAGCCTGTGAAACTGGGGCCGTTCCAGAGAGCCAGGGGTGCTGGGGTGCCCCTGAAATATCTTACTTCAGGGATTGTGTTAGCATGCTCCACCTAGGCTGTGACAAGTGGCTGATCAGGATTGACTGAGGCATAAAATAGATGTGGGGTTCTAAAAGGACTGTAAATATAAATTGTCTTTTTTTATGTTATATGCAAACAATATTTTGGACATATTGGATCAGATAAACTGTTAGCAAAATTAATTTTGCCTATTCCTTTTTTTAATGTGGCAACTAGAAACACTGAAGCTACCTAGGTGGCTCCCGCCGTGTTTCTGTTGAGGGTACCAGGCCAAGGTGAGCGCCCTGTGTTAGTGGGCAGCTGCCCCAGCTCTAGAGGGCTCACTGACAGTCAGATGGAGGCACTAGAGATGCTGGGGCTCAGATCTTGGTGCGAGGCTTCACCCCATGAAATGACCTGAGAGTCTCCTAAACCCCGTTTCCTCCCTATCTGTCAGCCCTCATGGCTTTGCTTCCTTCCCTTTACTTCAGCCAGGTCCCTTTATTCAGCCTGCACCTGCCACAGATCCACCCCTGGGGTTCCTATAGAACAACAGAACAAGTTAATGAGATACTTTACATTTTTTCCACTGTCCTCATAGAACCTGACATGTTTTGTACAGTGCAGTCTCCATCAGCCACGTGTCACAGCACAGCTTGGGTGAGTGGATATTTTCGCTGTAGTATCCATGGAATGTGTCTCTAGACTCCCCAAACCCAGCATGTCTAAAAACCAGAGTTACCTTCTCCCTCCAAAGCCCTTTCCCCCTCCACCCCTTGTCTATGGCGGAGGACTCCTCTGTGAATCCCTTGGCCCCAGCCAGAGACTTGGGGTTTTGTAATGACAGTGGTAGTAATAGGCAATAGCTTTTATTTCTTACTTCCTAGTCCCTGGCCCTGTGCCAGATGATTTACATATGTGTCTGATTTATCTCTCCCAACAACTCCATGAAGAGGGTGTTATTCTTATTGCCATTTTACAGATAAAGAGACTGAGGCATAGAGAAGCTGAGTGACTCACACAAAGGCAGCTGCGTGGCAGAGCTACGGTTCTGAACCTGTCTGTCCCGTCTTCAGAACTGGCCCTTTAACAACAACAAAAGATTTAAATAATTATTCATTGGAAAGACAGAAGTTAGAGGGAGAGACAAAGAGGGAGATCTTCCATTCATTCCCCCAAATGGCTACAATGGCCAGCCCTGAGACAGGTTGAAGCCAAGAGCCAGGAGCTTCATCCAGGTCTCTGACATGTGTGGCAGGGGCCCAAGCACTTGGACCATCTTCTGCCTTCCCAAGTGCATTAGCAGGGAGCTGGATCGGAAACAAAGCAGCCAGAGCTTGAACCAGGACCCATATGGGATGCTGGCATCGCAGGCTGCTGTTTAAACCGCTGTGTCACAACGCCAGCCCCCCAGAACTGGCTCTTCTGACCTGCTACCCAAATCCCTCCGGTCATTACATTGTGTAGCATCCAGTTCTGACCCATCTTTGCCCAACATAAAGCCCCTTTCAGCCTACATTGCTACAGTAGACAAATGGTAATAAAACATGCTGATAATCTTTTTAAATAAAAAGCAGAACTAAGAAGGCATATCCTGAAGTGAGCTTGGATTCAGCTAAGTTCTTTGATCTTTGTAATCAGCATTATTGCTATGAAAGAACCAAGCTCAGAGTCAGAACCTCAGGGTATTATTGCATTCATAAAATACAGACTCTTACTGTGCAATCGTAACTATAGTTCAGAAAACTCGAACAGGAGGGGAAAGATGGACCTTTACTTCATTCACCTACATTGTACTTTGGGGAGTATTTGCAAACCAGAAAGATAAACTGCTTCTGTAAGATGAAACAAGGAGTTTTGTGCTGAACCCTCCACTCACCAGGACGGCTGCTTCCCGAGCTGCCAGTTCTTCTAGGCTGAGCTGTGTGGAACCCGAGGTAGAGGCTCTCCCTGCCCTATGCACTTTCAGTCTCACTTGGGCACTGTACCCAGGAGTGTGGTGCTTTGAAACAAGACCCTGGACAAGGCTCTGGCGCTGTGGCAGAGTAGGTTAAGCATCCGCCTGTGGTGCCTGCATCCCATGTGGCCACCGGATCCAGCTCTGGCTGCTCCACTTCTGATCCAGCTCCCTGCTGATACACCTGGGAAAGCAGCGGAGGATGGCCCAAGTCCTTGGGCCCCTTCACCCACATGGGAAACCTGGAAGAAGCTCCTGGTTCCTGGTTTCTGATCAGCTTAGCTCTGGCCTTTGCAGCCATTTGGGGAGTGAACAAGTGGATGCAAGACCTCTCTCTCTTTCTCTGTAACTCTGCCTCTCAGGTAAATAAATCTTAAAAAAAAAAAAAAAAAAAAGACCCTGAACCAACAAAATGAAGTTGCCTTTGCCCAGGTTCATATTACACAGGTGGATTGTGATTATGGGTTTTTAAGGCAGCCGCATGGACATTGTGAACTACGAGATTTTACATTCCTGCTTAGGCTATTAAAGACTGTTACCTCCGTTGCCAAAGTTTCATTCATTCATTCAACAAATATTGAGCTTTTCCTATGTGCCTGTCACCATAGGCAGAGGGGATATAATAATGAACAAAACATCAAATCTTTTTTTAAAGATCTGTTTTATGGGACTGGAGCTGTGGTATAGCAGGTAAAGCCACTGCTTGTGGCCCCGGCATCCCATATGGGCATCGGTTTAATTCCCAGCTGCTCCACTTCTGATCCAGCTCTCTGCTATGGCCTGGGAAAGCAGTAGAAGATAGCCCAAGTGCTTGGGCCCCTGCACCTGCATGGGAGACCCAGAAGAAACTCCTGGCTCCTGGCTACAGATTGGCTCAGCTCTGGCCTTTGGGGCTATCTGAGGATAAAAGATAAAAGCAGATAAAAGAACTCTCTCTCTCTCTTTCTCTCTCTCACTCTGTCTCTCTTTGCCTTTACCTCTCTGTAATTCTGCCTTTCAAATAAATAAATCTTTTTTAAAGATCTATTTTACTTATTGAAAGAGTTACAGAGGGAGAAGGAGAGTGAGAGGTCTTTATCCGCTGTTCACTCCCCAGCTGGCCGCGACAGCTGGCCGCGACATCTGGCGCTGAACCAAGCAGAAACCAGGAGCCAGAAATTTTTCTGGGTTTCCCATGTAGGTGCAGGGTCCCAAGGACTTGGACCATTTCCCAGGTGCATTAGGAGGGAGCTGGATTGCAAGTGGAGCAGCTGGGACTCAAGCCAACGCTCATATGGGACACCAGCACAGCAGGCCAGGGCTTTAACCCACTGCACCACAGAATCAGCCCCTGACCAAAATCTTATGTCCTAGTGAAGAGATAGATTACAACAAGTGAAGCGTTTAGAATGCCAGAAGGTGGGAAGTGCGAGGAGAAAAGTGAAGAGGGAGAGAGGCAAGCTGTGTCCTGCGTCTTTAAGTGAGGCTGTCCGAGCAGCCGTCTTGGAGAGAGGATTATTGGAACAGTGACCTCAGGGAAGGGTGAGAACCTCATACAGAATGTTCACTACTTAAAAGACTCACGCTTCTCCTAGAGCCGTGTTTGCCAGCTACATAACCAGTTGGCGCTGAGTATGTGATACAGTCTTCATTAAGGTTATATAAAATTAATACTAGCAACTGAAGCAGTAGCAGTAGCCATAGCACAGAGAGCAAAGTGATTGCTGTGTGTCGAGTGTTGGGAGAGTGTTTCCCAGGGCTCAATCCACATCGTGTCCCTCTCAGAGCCTCGCCATGGACTGTGCTGTGGGAACAGGTTTCCTCTGGGTAAGGTGTCCACATAGTACCAGACTCAAATGTGACCCAGGGAAGAGGAAGCCTCCCTCCCATCCTGCCCGACTCACCCAATGGCATTCTTAGAAGGATCTGTTTCACCTGCTTGTGATTTCTCTTCTAGAATGTTTGTAAATAAACTTGAAAAACCCACAAGCAGATAAGGCCCACAATAACAGGGTATATTTATTTGTTTTTTTAAAGGTTTATTTATTTGAAAGTCAGAGTTACATAGAGAGAGAGAAGGAGAGGCACAGAGAGAGAGAGAGAGAGAGAGAGGTCTTCCATCCACTGGTTCACTCCCCAGTTGGCCACAACTGCTGGAGCTGCACCAATCCGAAGCCAGGAGCTAGGAACTTCTTTCAGATCTGCCTCACGGGTCCAGGGCCCCAAGGACTTGGGCCATTTGCTACTGCTTTCCCAGGCCATAGAGAGAGCTGGATCAGAAGTGGAGCAACCAGGACTTGAACTGGCACCCATATGGGATGCTGGCACTGCAGGCGGCAGCTTTATCCACCACGCCACAGCGTAGCCCTACTCCTTTTTTAGATCTTTACCAACACAGTGGCCAAATTGTTTGATCTCTGTTCATCCAATACATAAAAAATAGTATGTCTTTGTAGTTTAAATGTGCATCCCTCTTATTGTGAATGTGGTCATTTGTGATATGTGTAGTTCTTAATTGAATTTCTGGATATTTTCTGATGAGGCTCTATCCCCTTTATTTCTTCAGGTAATGTATAATTTTGTTTTTCTTTATTTTCCTATCATACTTACGTTCTAGTGCTTTATTCCCCAAAGCTGTAATTTTAAGAAGGAATATATCGCGTGTGTAATGGATCCCTGTAAAGGATATTTTGCCCCTTCCCTAATCCTTCCCCCCCTCCCCCCACCCCATTTCTCCCTTTAGTGAGACCCTTGGTGCTAAATCAGACCCTTCCAGACTCCTTGCAAAGCACCTGGCAGACAGATAAGCTGCACGGGGCAGCTTGTGAAACAGATAAGAGGAAGTTCCCAGAGGCTTCAAAGAGCGCCCAACTCTCCTGCCATCTGCTTTCTACCTCCCCCTCCTCCAACCCCATAATAGCAAACCCCCTCCTTAACTGGATAAAAACCCAGTTCTAAATGTGCCCTGGGCACAGTATTGGTAAGAACGGATTGCCACCCCTCTTTGCTCTTAATAAAGTAACCTGTCTTTGTTGAGATTGGTTCCATCTCCCTTCTGTCTCATCCCTACGGATACAAAAGACCAAAACTGAGCTATTGCAAACCTAATACCCTGAAGCTAGTTTGTGAAGATCATTTAGTGAGAGGCAGAGACATGTGTGTGTGTGTGTTTAGTTTTCATTTGAGAGAGTGTTCATGCACAGGTTCACTCCCCCAAATACCCACAGCAGTGGGACTGGGCTGGGGCTCAAACTGGGAGCCAGGACCTCAGTCAGGGTCTCCCATGTGGGTAGTGGGGACCCAAGACCCTGCCAGGGTCTGCATTAGCAGGAAACTGGAGTCCAGAGCCAGAGATGAGACTGGAAACCAAGCCCTCAGATGTGGAATGTGTATCTTCACCAGCATCTTAACCACCAGGACAAGGCCTGCCCTGTGGGATGTGTTTTTGAAATACCAGACATAGTCAAGAGGTTTACATGAATAGTTGGGTCTTCAAGCTAAGGTAGTTAGACCAAGGAATAACAGTAAGTATAGGAAAACCATGATCTGAGATGAACTCAAAGATCAGGAGGCAGGGAGGGAGGCCAGAATGGGTTGACTCTCAGTTCTTCCTGCTGCGGAAGGGATGACGGAGTCAGCAAGATGTGTTTGTCCTGGCTTAGGGATGATCCTGCACTTCCTCACAGTCGCACTGCTCCTTCTCTGGAACCCTCCGGCTCTTCCCGTTAACCAGGGCTCCAGGGAAGAAACTCCAAGGACTGATGTTAACACAACACCTGCTCTGGACACAGTTTATCTGGGAGGAGAGCCTCATGGACTCAGCACCGCAGCCCTTTTGCTGAAGCGTACAAACTCATGTTTTCCAGCTGCCGTGGGGTTTCTGGCCGTGTCCAGTGTCATCACCATGTCCGCCCCTTTCTTCCTGGGGAAGATCATTGACATCATCTATACCAATCCCACAGTGGACTACAGTGACAAGCTGACTCGCCTCTGCCTTGGCCTCACCTGTGTGTTTCTGTGTGGTGCTGCTGCCAATGCCGTCCGTGTCTACCTCATGCAAACCTCAGGTAGGAGTCGCTCCTCCGCACGCCATCCTAAGGAAGACGCGGTGCGTTCTCTGGTCCACTTGAGCCTTGAGTTGTGTGTGTGCAGGCCACAGTCTCCCCCTGGTTTCACGTCCAGTGAGGACAGACCCCAGTGTCAGGGCACGTGTAGAAGTGTGGATGACTTGAGACAGAGTGCCCTCTTCTGAACTCTGCTGCTTGTTGGAGTTGAGCAGTGTGGGAAGTCGCCTCCCTCGTCTCGTGGGAGCGTTGAGAACGAGGCCCTCAGCTGTGAAGTGGGAATTCTGGGCCACCTTTGTGGAGCTGCGAAACCTGTGTATCTGTCCCATGCCTGCATTTCCTGTCGAGTAGCTCTCTGGATGATAACATTTTTGGTATTTCTGCCTGGAGAGCTCATTATTAACAGGCAGGTAACAACCACAATACCAACAGAGCCCAGGACAGGGAGTCAAAGTCTATAGCTCCCCATTTAGCTAGCTAATAAGATACTCTGTAGATAATTAACCTGTTCTTGCCATTTGAAGGCTCGGTGCAGAAGAGGGTTTCCAGGAGGGAATACAATTAGCTTTTGGGTGTCGATATAGTCAAACTCCTTTGTAAATAATACTTTAAAAAACTGTGTGTGTCATGTAATATTTATCTTATCTCTGTATCCTCTCATGAGTGCCCCAGCTGTTGGTGCACAGAGAAAATGAGTGTGCACTGCCGTCACGGCTGTTGCTACTCCAGGGCCTGGGCGAGTTTGCTCTCACCAGCGCGACGTAGTGCAGAAGCTCAGCAGCTCAGCGCTCACAGGGCTTGCACCAGGCCCAGCTGCTGGCTGTTGGGAGGCTGCACCTGCAAGGGAACAGGTGGCCTGCCTCATTGCTTGCTTTTGCAGGTCAGCGCATTGTGAATAGGCTGAGAACTTCGTTGTTCTCCTCCATCCTGAGGCAGGAGGTCGCTTTCTTCGACAAGACTCGCACAGGAGAACTGATTAACCGCCTGTCCTCAGACACCGCGCTCCTGGGACACTCGGTGACTGAAAACCTTTCCGACGGGCTCAGGGCTGGAGCCCAGGCTTCTGTCGGCATCGGCATGATGGTGCGTTGGCCCGGTTCCTCTTGGCACCTTCTGGTCTGGGCTGGGTCTGTGGCAGGCCTCTGAAGTGTGAGGTGAGCTTGAGGTGAGCTTGCCAGTAACTCATTGGAGTATGGGTTGTTTTTAAATTTAAATTCCAATTATTAAAACTAAATAAACTTCCCAGTAGCCATGTGAGGCTGTTGTTCCAGATAGCGCAGTTCCAGACCAGTGGACTGAGGACTGTAATCACTCTTTTCTCCCAAGTAGAAAAGCTTGGGTTTTGTCCTTCCAGTGCCCCAGGTAGCATTAAGTCCAGAATGAAAAGGGTGTTCCCAGAGTCCCCCAGTTAGCTGTGACTGTGGAATGGAAAACAGCTTTGACATCTCACGTCTTCCCAGCTAAGAGGGAAGCAGATCCCTGGAAGAAGACCCTACCTGTCAGCACTCACATGCCATTTCCAAATATAAATAGTTCTGCAGTTCAGGAAGAGTTCAAGCCAGGAAAAAATGCACACACACTTGGGGAACCTTTTCTTCTACCAGTGAAAGAGAATCCAGTGCAGGTCAAATGGCCAATTCAGAGAGGGCCACTTTAGTCTGTTTGGGCTGCCATGTGTCACCAAATACCACAGACTGGGGGACGTAAGCAGTAGAAACGCGTTTGTCACAGTTCTGGAGGCCAGCAGTCTGAGATCTCAATGGCAGGAAGTACGTTCATTCTGCAGCCTCTTCTGTTGACTTGTAGGCAGTGACTCTCCTGTGTGTGCACATGGAGAGAGGATGAGCTCTCTGGTGTCTCTTCTTATAAGGACATTTATCCTATCAGATCAGGCCCCCACCCTTACGACCTCACTTCATCCTGGTTATGTCCCTAGAGGCACCGTATATATCTCCAAATACAGTCATCCTAGGGGTAGGGCTCCAACACATGAATTCGAGGGAGACGCAAACATTCAGTCCATCACAGGCCTTCCACTCCCCAGGCCCTGGTCTTTAGCTCTGCAGGAACAGAAATGTGACTCTGTTTCTCCTACACAAACTCCTTAGACCTGACAAGGTGAGCCAAATAGGGAAAACCTAACATTGTCTATAGCATGCTGCCGACTTGTTAGTTTATGCTGTGGATCTTCCGTCCTAAGCTGCATGGTTCCGCTATTCAAAGCCTCCTTTCCCTAAGTTTATATATATAAAATATTTGAAACTTGTATAACTTGAATAAAATCTAAAAAAAAAAACACACACAAAGTCTCCTCTCAGGTTCCAGATTGCCCATTAAGCATGGAACCACAGCAAAGCGAGGGGAAAGGGAATGGGACAGTTACCCTTAGTCATGGAGCAACCTGACAGATTGTGCCTGTCCCACCACAGAGGGTTGATAAGCATCTGGACATTCACTCAAGATCAGTTGTGTTCAGACCCCAGAATTGTGGTCATGTCCACCCTGGTAGCCTCACAAGTCCTGACATCAGAGACATGGCCATGCTCCCTGAGGCTCAGTCCAAGTATCCTAATGGACTTCCCTGTTCCGAGTGTCTCATTCCTGTTAGCCCTTGAACTTATGTTCTGTCTGCCTCTCTTACTTGATTATTATCGAGCTCCCACCTTGCTCTGTTCCCTTGCCTGAAGACCCTGTGAGGGACAGTCATCTACCAGGTGCCTGGAATAGTGCTTGCCACATGGAGACAGCAGTGATAGGTTGAATGAGTAGGTGAATGGTTGCTGGATCTGACATTGCTTTATGTTTCAGTCTGCGTCGTTTCCTTGGCATTTTAAGAGATGTTTGTACTGATTATCCATGCAAATGAGATTAAGTAGATTTTAGTGATTTGTTAAAGAGATGCTAGTGCCATTTAAAAGAATCACCGTATTCCGAGGCTGACAGGAGAGCCGACTACCTGTAGAAGTTGGTTGTTCCTTAGGCACCTCCAGTTGTTGGAAGCTCTTCCGTCTGTTGAGTCCTCATCTGTCCTGTTGACGTCAAGTCACTGAACTGCAAAAACAGCTCTAACCCTTCTTCCACTTTTTAGTTGTGTCTGCCAAGTCATCATCTTTTGATTCTTTGTCATATGACATAAAGTCTTTTTTTTTCATGTGTTTGCCATCTTGGTCATTTCAGTGGCACATGTTATTGTAATTGTTTAGTGCCTGGAGGTGATCCAGACTTGAGTGCCAAACTCCTGTATGATCTGGCCAGTGTGAAGCTGAATGAGTCTCCCCGCTGGACTCCCGTTCACTCCTTTCTCCCTGTTGTTGGAAGACTTGGTCTGATGTAGTTATCAGTCTGAGGACAAAATATTCCCATCCTTCCTTGAGTAGCTTTCTGTCACATTACTTCTGTGTGCTATGTGGAATACTCATGGGTTTTATGAAGATTAAAGAGAGCTGGTGAACTCCACTAAAGCAAGATACACAATTTGGAGACAGCACCTTCAATCCCACCGGTTCATTAAACACACTCATGCCTTCAGTAGGAAATGTGAATGTCTTGCCATCTTGTGTAACAAGCACCTCTTGACTTTTGTTTTTGACAGTTTTTTGTCTCGCCTAGCCTGGCCACCTTTGTTTTGAGTGTGGTGCCTCCAATCTCTATTCTTGCAGTGATTTATGGACGATATCTACGGAGACTGACCAAAGCCAGGCAGGACTCCCTGGCACAAGCCACTCAGGTACAGGCCCCTTCCCATGCTCACCATTTCCTGTAGAATGGGTGCAGACTCATGGTTCTTGAGGGCAGACCCTGTGGGATGTGCTTAGGTTTCTGAACAATGTACCCTCCTTTCATTAGTTTCGAGCCCAAGACCCTGGAAATCCAAAGTACTCTGGCTTCTGGAGTAGATCTCTACCCATGTCTCACACTGTATCTAATGTGACTGAACCTTGTATGAACATCTAATTTCTTAACATCAATATTTCTTGTAAACAAGCAAAAAAAAAGCTAATCATGTTATAAAATTTGTTTCTGAGGGCTAGTGTTGTGGCACAGTAACTTAAGTCACTGTTGTGACACTGGCAACCCATACTGAAGTGCCACTTCGATTCCTGGCTGCTCTAGCTCCCTAGTAATTCACCTGACAAGGCAGCTCCCTGCTAATGTGCCTGGGAAGGCAACAGAAGAGGGCTCAAGTCCTTGGTCCCCTACCAGAGGGAGAGCTGGCTCATGGTTTCAGTCTGCTGCAGACCTGGCTGTTGTAACCATTTAGAGAATGAAAGAGTGTGGGGCCGGTGCTGTGGTGCACGGGTTAAAGCCCTGGCCTGCAGCACCGATATCTCACAGAGGTGCCAGTTTGAGTCCCGGCTGCTCCACTTCCAATCCAGCTCTCTGCTATGGCCTGGGAAAGCAGTGGAGGATGGCCCAAGTCCTTGGGCCCCTGCACCCATGTGGGAGACCCGGGGGAGACTCCTGGCTCCTGGCCTCGGATCAGTTCAGCTCTGGCCGTTGTGGTCATCTGGGGAGTGAACAGTGGGTGGAAGGTCTCTTTCTCTCTGGCTCAATCTCTTTCTGTAACTGTGTCTTTCAAATGAATAAAATAAATCTTAAAAAAGAGAGAGGATAAAAGAGTAGATGGAAGAATTCTCATTCTTCCTCTCCCTCATGCATCACTGTCATTCTGCTTTACAAACAAATTAATAAATCTTAATAAGAAAATAGTTTCTGGGTGATACTGTATCCTTTGTTAATTTAATAAAACTAGCTTTTCAGTGCTGTGCAACATTACTTTCTTTTTAAAGATTTTTTATTTATTTGAAAGTCAGAGATACACAGAGAGAGAAGAGGCAGAGAGAGAGAGAGAGAGAGAGAGAGGTTTTCCATCTGATGGTTCACTCCCCAATTGGCCACAATGACCGGAGCTGTGACGATCAGAAGCCAGGAGCCAGGAGCTTCTTCTGGGTCTCCCACGTGGGTGCAGGGACCCAAGGACCTGGGCCATCCTCCACTGCTTTCCCAGGCCATAGCAGAGAGCCACATAGGAAATGAAGCAGACAGGTCTCAAACTGGCGCCCACATGGGATGCCGGTGCTTCAGGCCAGGGCATTAACCTGCCACACCACAGCCCAACATTACTTTTTTTTTGACAGGCAGAGTGGACAGAGAGAGACAGAGAGGAAGGTCTTCCTTTGCTGTTGGTTCACCTTCCAATGGCCGCCGCGGCCAGTGTGCTGTGGGAGCCAGGTGCTTCTCCTGGTCTCCCATGGGTTGCAGGGCCCAAGCACTTGGGCCATCCTCCACTGCACTCCCTGGCCACAGCAGAGAGCTGGCCTGGAAGAGGGGCAACCGGGACAGAATCCGGCGCCCCGACCGGGACTAGAACCCAGTGTTGCGGCGCTGCAAGGCGGAGGATTAGCCTAATGAGCCGCGGCACTGGCCCCAACATTACTTTTGAAAAGCAATAAAAACAATTTATATTTTCATGTTACAGAAAACATGCATGTTTATCATTGAAAAATTTGAAAACATAAACAAAAGTCAAAAGTATACTTAACCTGATTTCAGAATTAACGTCATGAGCATTTTGGAGTCTAGCCTTTCTACTCATCTTTTTGTCTGCAAACATATATTTCTGTATCTACTACCCTGCTGTTTTCCTTCCTATCTACCTATCTGTCTAATGTGTATAGATACAGATTTGTTTTTCCAAAAATAGGATTGTTCTGTGTCCTAATTCGTTTCCCATTGATAGTGGCTTAAATGAGAATTGCATTTTAATTTTTATTCTAGAAATTCTTAAAAGTGTGACCCTCCTCCCCCTAAAATGTGCTGCTTATTTTCCCAGCTAGCTGAGGAACGTATTGGAAATATAAGAACTGTCCGAGCTTTTGGGAAGGAGATGACTGAGATGGAGAAATACACCAGCAAAGTCGACCATGTGATGCAGCTGTCAAGGAAAGAGGCTTTTGCTCGGGCCGGCTTCTTCGGCGCAGTAAGCAGATCATTTCACAGGGTTCGAAAGGGCAGAGGTTACGACTGGGAGAGATTTTTGTTCTGTGGCTCTTGACAGAGCAGAAAATTACTTTATGTCAAGGCTGAGTTCATCCTTGAGATACATTTGTGAAAAAAGAGGAAACAAGTGAATGTAGGTATAGAAAAGCATGGTCCGGATGAGCTTTACCTAGGAGCTGCCTGGCGCTGCAGTTCTGAGCCCCACCCGGACCCACCAAATCCAACTCTCTCAGGGTGGGGCCGTGAGTCTTAACAGGGTCATCCAGGTCACTCTGAGCAAGTGAAGGTGAGACTTCCCAAGGATTGACCAAAATGAGCTCAGTGGATTGCAGAAAGGAAGGATCAAAAATTGATCCCCATGGTGTCACGATGTGAAATACACGTCGGACCCGGAAGCAAATTCATGCTCTGTTCAAACTGGCAGGAACTCCCGAGGTCACTCAGTCACTGCCATGATTAACAGCGAAAAGAAACAGCAAGGAGGCTGCCCTGCCCCAAGACCACATTCCTTGCAGACCTCCAAGCAGGTCACAGATACGGGGTGCCAGCCTCTAAGTGCCGTGTCCCAGCCCAGAACACTTCATTAAAATATTCAGACACACACAGTGGCTATCTAGTCCTTTCCTAAGAAATTTAATGTCATTGTTTCCTTTGCAAAGCAAGTAAATTGAGTAAAATAGGAATGTAATGGGTGACTTAATATCTAGGTTTGCATGGTGAGGAAATTATTTCTTTCAATACTGAAAATATCCAAAAAGTGTGTTTTATTTGATGCTTTGCATTTTGGAGAAATCTCTTGTGGTGATAGTTCAGTGCCACAGGAAGCATAGGCCTTTCGAATGTTTGTTGGATTGTGGGTCTTTGTTCCCACCTGACTCTGTCTCCTTCATCCTACAGACCGGGCTCTCTGGGAACCTGATTGTGCTTTCCGTCCTGTACAAAGGGGGGCTGCTGATGGGCAGTGCCCACATGACAGTCGGTGAACTCTCTTCCTTCCTAATGTACGCTTTCTGGGTTGGACTAAGCATTGGAGGTATATAATTTAAAAAGGCTTGGGGGGTTGCAAATTACAAATCAGAGTCTACTTTTTTTTTAGATAATTTTTTTAGGTTTTATTTATTTATTTGAAAGGCAGAATGACAGAGGCAGATAAAGTGATTTCCATTCTCTGATTCATTCCCCAAAAGGCCACCATGGCCCGGGCTGTCCCAGGAGCCCGAAAGTCCATCTGGGTCTCCCATGTTGGTTGCAAGGGCCCATCTTCCGCTACTTTCCCAGGCATGCTAGCAGAGAGCTGGATCAGAAGTGGAGTAGCTGGGACTCAAACCAGTGCCCTGATGTGGGATGCCAGCACTGTAAGCGGCAGCTTAGCCTTGTGTGCTGTAATGCCAGCCTCTAGATTCTAGTTTCTGTAACAAAAACTGAACTTCTACATGATTCTACCTCTTGCTAATTAACTTCCTCTGAAAAAAATTTCCTAGAATATCATTCCAACTAGACTTTTATTTTTAAACTTTATTTATTTGAGAGAGAGAGAGAGAGAGATCTATCATCCACTGGTTCACTCTCCACGCCTGCCAACAACTAGGGCTGGGCCAGGCCAAAGCCAGGAGCTGGGAACTCCATCCAGGTCTCCCACATGGGTGGCAGGAATCAAGCTACTCAGCCATCATCTGCTGCCTCCCAGGGTCTGTTTTGTATGTGGCCTATTCTGGTTGGCTTACTTAATCTAGTAATATACACTTAAGGTCCTCCATATCTTTTCATGGCTGGGTAGGTCATTTCTTTTTAGTACCTAATAATATTCCGTTATCGGTTATTATATCTGTTATTCAGTTTTCCACTCACCTACTAAGGGCATCTGGAGTGCTTCCAAATTTTGGCAAGTGTGAATAAAGCTGCTGTAAATAATTTTGTGCTGGTTTTTGCCTGGATGTACATGTGCAGTTCATTTCAGTAAATATGAACAAGCACAACTGCTGGGTCAGATAACAGGAGTGAGTTTAATTTTGTAAGGAACTGCTACACTGTCTTCCAAAGTGACTGCACCATCATGCGTTCCACCAGCAGCAAATGACAGTTTTTGTTGTTCCACAGCCTTGCCAGCTGTGGTGTTGTCAGTGTTCTGAATCTTAGCCTGATTGTTGTGTGTGTGGTAGCATCTCATTGTTGTATTAATTTGCATTTCTCTGATGACATGATGTTGAGCATCTTTTCAGAGTTATTTGCCATCTTTTTATCTTCTTTTTTTTTTAGCATTTTTTTTAATAAAAGATGTATTTATTTGAAATCTAGAGTTAGAGAGAAGAGAAGAGAGATCGATCGATCAATCTTCCATCTGATGATACGCTCCCCTGGCCCATGACTGGGCCAGGCCCATGCCAGGAGCTTCTTCTGAGTCTCCCGTGTGGGAGACAGGGGTCCAACACTTGGGTCATCCTTCCACTACTTTCCCAGGCCATTAGCAGGGAGCTGGATTGGAAGTGGAGCAGCCAGGCCACAAACCAGCACTCACATGGGACACCAGCATCACAGATGGCAGCTTCACCTACTATGCCACAACACTGGCCCCCATCTTTCTATCTTGTTTGGTGAGGTTTTTATTGTGTTTTGTTTGTTTCCTGTTGTTAAGTTTTTTTGTGTGTGGTGTTTTTGTTTTGTTTTGTTTTGTTTTGTTTTTTGACAGGCAGAGTGGACAGTGAGAGAGAGAGACAGAGAGAAAGGGAGAAAGGTCTTCCTTTTGCCATTGGTTCACCCTCCAATGGCTGGAGCGCTGCGGCCGGTGCACCGCACTGATCCGAAGGCAGGAGCCAGGTACTTCTCCTGGTCTCCCATGGGGTGCAGGGCCCAAGCACTTGGGCCATCCTCCAATGCACTCCCTGGCCACAGCAGAGAGCTGGCCTGGAAGAGGGGCAACCGGGACAGAATCCGGTGCCCTGGCTGGGACCAGAACCCAGTGTGCCGGCGCCGCAAGGCGGAGGATTAGCCTGTTGAACCACGGCGCTGGCCCTGCTGTTAAGTTTTAAGAATTCTTTGTTCAAAGGTTCTTCTTGATGTGTGATGGGGTTATGTCCTGATGAATCATTAGTAAGTGGAAAATGTCATCAGGTGAAATGCATTTAATACACTTAATCTACCAAATGTCATAACTCAGCAATACAGCACGTTGTAGATATTGGTTATGTCTCCTGCTGATCATGTGACTGGGACTTGAGGCTCCTGCCGTTGCCCAGTGAGAGGGTAACATAGTGCAAATCACTAGCCCAGGAAGAGGCCAACACTCAAAATTCAATATATGGTTTCTAATGAAAGGATATTGTTTTCATACCATCACAAAGTTAAAAAAAAAAATCTAGCTCAAACCATGTCACAGAATGTGTATTTTGGATGCTGGTTGTTTACCAGATGCGTCTTATGAATATCGTTTCCCAGTGTGTATCTCGTCTTGTCATTCTCTTGAAAATGTCTTTTGCAGAGCTGAAATGGTTAATTTTAATGAAGTCTAGCTTATCACTTCTCTCTTTCATTGACTATGCCTTTGGTGTTGCATCTAAGAAGTCATTGCCAAATTCCAGGTCAACTACATTTTCTCCTGTATTATCTTCTAGGAGTCCATAGTTATACATTTTACATGTAGGTCTGACTCTTTGTAATTTAATTTTTGTGAAAGGTGTAAAGTCTGTCTAGATTTACTTTTTTGCATGTGGATATTGATTGTTAACAGAAACATTTGTTGGAAAGACAACAAATGTATTGTCATTGTACCTGCATTGCCTTGTCTTTGCTTCTTTGTCAAAGATCGTTAACTATATTTGTGTAGGTCTGATTTTCACTAATGCATTTTTTAATTCCAAGCTGAGGTTTTAGTTGTATATCTTGCATATATCCATAGACCATAGAAAGAACATTTGAATTGCAGTTTTTCAGCATCCTTAACTGAGGAAATGTTACGAATATTTATCCTCATATTTGACATAGATCATTGTACTTGGACTGTCAGTCAGTAATTAAGTCATAGTTCAGAAGTGACTCACAGGGCAGGCACTTGCCCTGGTGGTCAAGATGCTGGTTCAGATGTCTTCATCCCACACTGGAGTGCTGGGTTCAGAGCCTTTCTCTGCTCCTGCCTCCAGCTTACTGATAACGCAGACCCTGAGAGGAAGAGACAAGGGCTCAGGGAACTGAGTTCCTGTCACCCATATAGGAGGCCTGGATTAACTTCCTGGCGCCTGCCTCTGGCCTGTCCCAGCCTTAGTTGTTGTAGGCATTTGGTGAGTGAACTACCAGATGGGAGTTCTCTCTCTCTCTCAAATATTTTTGATTTTTCTCAGAAAAGAGATTGGTAGAATAATTACCAGTGCAATTTCCTTTTTGGTTTTTAGCCTATGTGAAAGTTATATTCAGGGGATGGCACTACGGCGCAGCGGGTAAAGCTGCAGCATGCAGGGCCGGTATCCCATATGGGCGCTGGTTAGAGTCCAGCTGCTCCACTTCTGATCCAGCTCTCTACTATGGCCTGGGAAAGCAGTAGAAGATGGCACAAGTCCTTGAGCCCTTGCATCCCTGTGAGGGACCTGAAAGAAGCTCCTGGCTTCAGATAGGTACAGTCTGGCCGTTGTGGCCATCTAGAGTGAACCAGCAGATAGAAGACCTCCCTCCCTCCCTTCCTCCCTCCCTCTCTCTCTCTGCCTCTGTCTCTGTCTCTGTCTCTGTCTCTGTCTCTCTTTAACTCTGCCTTTCAAATAAATAAATAAATCTGAAAAGAAAGAGTTATTTTCATTGAGTACCTAAAATTAAATACTGAATAATAAAATAAAATAAATAAATAAAATAATAAAATAAAATAAATACTGAAGTATTTTATGTTCCCTTTAATTATGGGATAAGTGTTATATTTCATTAATATTGCCATTTTTTAACTAGGAAGACTTCCTCTATAGCATTATAATTTTCATTCAGTGATTAAGTAGTGTGACTCTATGTATTTCCAAATTCCTTGATCAAGCATTCAATCCTTATTAGAAACCAATAAACTTGAAAGAGGAGATGTGAAAAGGAAACTAGAGAATGAGACAGAGGACATTGTGAAAATGAATTCCCAGGCAACTTCCTAAACTGCTTTTTAAAAAATAACAGATTTTCTATTGAATTCACATTTTTGTCACTACTCCCAGGGAACTGAGAGGGGCCAACAGCTGCTCCTTGGAGCAGGTGATGGGCCTGTGTGTGGATGCTGCTTCTCTTCCTCAGGTCTGAGCTCTTTCTACTCGGAGCTGATGAAAGGACTGGGCGCAGGGGGGCGCCTCTGGGAGCTCATGGAGAGAGAGCCCAAGCTGCCTTTTAATGGTAAGTCTGAGATGCGATGATTCTTCTCTACGCGGACTAAATTAATCTGGCTTTGCACAGTGAGACCAGTTCCTTGCCCTGCCTTAAAGGATGAGCCGCAGGTACATGGTCCCTGTGCAGGGCAAGGAAGGGTCTGCCTTCCTATGGGAAAGTGGTGAGGGGGTAGGGCAGCTTCCAGGGTGCTACCACAGGCCCGAGATGTCCCTGGAAGCATGGTGGCTGACCACATTGTATCTGCCCGCTGTTCACTTCCCTACCCGTTGACTGTCACCAATAGTAGGATAAAAGCAAGTATGGCCAAGGGTACAAACAAGAAGGGCTTTGGCCAGTCCACCAGACTAACATTCCATAGAGATTCTGATAGTCCTCTGGGGTACCAGGTGAGAGGAAGGAGGGATCATACGTATAAAAGTAAGTGGCATTTGGGGATAGGTGGAGGATGCTGATACTAAATGTCTAGAACCTTCTCCTTTCTTATCAATGACTCCCCTGGCATGGTGGGCCCAGGGCCAGCCAGCTGAGGTTCATGAGAAGTGGCTGTGAGGAGTGAACCACTCCCAATTACTCACTGACTCCCAGGACATTGTTAGCTCCAGGTCAGTAAGTGAAAGCCTGACAGACTGTAGGAAGAAGCCAGCTGAGAAAGGCTCAGCAGCATCCCCCACGTCCGCAGCAGGTTAACACCAGGCCAGAACAGACCTCTGACGCCCTTCTGCTCCCATGGCTAGGGAGCAGCACTCCGCTGCTCATCACATTCTTTCTTCCTTTCTTTCTTTTTTTGCCAAGAGGCCTTCTCCATTTTATTTCTTTGGGAAAGGAACATGAAGTCTTTCTGTCACATATGGTAGAGATATATATTTATATATATATATATATTTACATAATTTCTTTGGTGGACATCTCAAAGCTGAGACTGTCATATTTTCTATTTTGTTGTCCTACCAATGCCTTCTCTCCTTCCAGGCCCTGTGGCCCAGGCCCAGGCTCTGGGGCAAATGCAGTGAAGGGTGAAGGGAACAGGCAGTAGCCGCCAGGGCGGCCTCCTCCCCAGCCCAGAGATGTGGTGAGGACCACCCAGCAGGGGCTGTGCATGACGAAGAGGCCACGCTCGAGGCGGATGGGGTCCAGGCTTTCTTCTCATCGCCTTGTTGCGGGGTGGGAGTGCTGGCACCCACTGCGGCCCTGCGCTCGCGCAGCAGCTGCTCCAGCTATTGGTTGCACTGCTACGTCCCCACGTAGGTCAGCTGCAGCTGCTTCTGGTGCTCGCAGACCTCTTCCTTCTCCTCCGGCCACACGTGGTGCTCCTCGGCGAAGCTGGCACCTGGCGCTCCCGGGCACAACAGGCTTCAAGGTGGATGGCCGAACTGGCGGCTCTGAGCACTGGTCTAGCTTGCCAGAGGTGGCCAGAAGCTTGGGTGGGTGGCTGGGTTCACGGTACTGTGACGGGGCCTTGTCGCTGCCACCGCTGCTGCCCACCACATTGCCCTAGACATCAGTGTGGTCACTGCCCCTCAGTCGCCATTGAGGTAGAGGGAGGTGGCAAGAGCCTTGTCTTCTGAGGGGAAGCGGCCTGGCCTCTCCCTGCCGGCCCTGCTAATGCAGGGAAACCGCCCTGGCTGCTGCCACCCCGTGCGGGTACCTGCGCTCTGCAGGGTGAATTCCTGGGCATGGGCCACCCCACTGCCCACACTACACTACTCATGCCAGGTAGGGGTCTGGGGGCCCAAGCTCAGAGGTCCGTGGGGCAAAGGCCAGGAGGGGATCCCGGCCATGGTCAGCACGCACAGGCAGTGTCTCGAGCTTCGCCATGGCTAAGCCAGGGTGCACTTTCCAGGGGGGTAGAGGGCCGACGGGTCCTCAAGCCTGGGTCCCTCTGAGGCTCGGTCTGCATGGGCCATGTGCGTCCCTCTCGCAGTCAGGACTCGGCCTGAACCAACCGCGCAACTTGGCAGGAGCCGACTGAGCCACCCCGGCCTGCGGTGTTCTTTGCGAAATGGGAGGAATGAAGGACCTACCTCTTGGAGCTGCCACGTGCCAGGCGCCCCGAGACGGCGGGCCACATTCTTTCAAAACATTTGTTTAGTGTAGAAAACTTAAACTCTGGACGAAGAGAACTATGCGGAAACAGTAGGATGGGGAGGAGACCTTTGGGTTTGAAACTGGACCACTGTGCTTCAAGGGAGGATCTTAACTACGTGTGAGCTGGGGGCAAGTTTTCTGTGGTCTTTATTATAAAATGGGAGTCTTAATGTCTGCTCCTCAGGGCTGTAAGGATCAAGTGCCCCAGGTGTGTGTGGTACCTTGTACACGGCAGGGGCAGAGTAGGCACACTGTGAGTATTCAGGCCTGTGCTTGCTTCCTGGCGTGCCACTTAGAGCTCCCGCCCCAGGACTCACTCTGCTGGATTCCTCCATCCACGGTTGGAGGAGCAGGAGAACCGAGTTGAGCTGTGGGTTTGGTAGTTTGCTTTAAGTAATTCGTATTCCATCTTGTGTTTCAGAGGGCGTCGTTTTAAAAGAGAAAAGCTTCCAGGGTGCTTTGGAGTTTAAGAATGTGCATTTTGCCTACCCGGCTCGCCCAGAGGTGCCCATATTTCAGGATTTCAGCCTGTCCATCCCAGCAGGATCTGTCACAGCCCTGGTTGGCTCAAGTGGCTCTGGCAAATCCACAGTGGTTTCCCTCCTACTGAGGCTGTATGACCCCATTTCTGGTAAGTGGTTCACCCAGGGGTGGGCAGAGCCACTTTCCTCCACCTGTGCAAATCCAGACGCATGGAGTCATCACCTGTCTTAAAATGTCATTTATTGGTGTTTCCCTCTGGAAGCACTGTCTCAATTCACTGTTTATTTGTCAGGAAATCTGAGGTAAAAGAAAATTCTAGTCAGGTGGATGCGAATGAAATCAAAATATTGAGTCTGGAATTCCTTCATCACGTTGCCTACATCAAGAATGGAGCTTATACTTGTACTTGTATTTCTGCCGTGTGTACTCTGTGGAGCACTTGTGCTTTTAATCAAAGAGTTCAAGTTTTTGCCAGTTTACAGAAGTGCCCCGCTGGGTTGTATGATTCCACAGCACCAGGAAGGCAAGACATTTCTTATGCTGTCACTGTTTTCCTCACTAAGCACTGTTGAACACCTTCATTGTATGGAACCAAACCTGCCAGTGACGTCAGAGAGTTAGCGTATGATTCTTTTTTTTAATTAATTTATTTTTTGACAGGCAGAGTGGACAGTGAGAGAGAGAGACAGAGAGAAAGGTCTTCCTTTTGCCATTGGTTCACCCCCCAATGGCCGCCACGGCCGGCACGATGCAGCCGATGCACCGCGCTGATCCGATGCCAGGAGCCAGGTGCTTCTCCTGGTCTCCCATGTGGGTGCAGGGCCCAAGTACTTGGGCCATCCTCCACTGCACTCCCTGGCCACAGCAGAGAGCTGGCCTGGAAGAGGGGTAACCGGGACAGAATCCGGCTCCCCGACTGGGACTAGAACCCGGTGTGCCGGCGCTGCAAGGCGGAGGATTAGCCTAGTGAGCTGCGGCGCCGGCCTTAGCGTATGATTCTTTAAAAGCAGGTGGGACCAATCTTTAAAAGCTGAGTCCGGAGTTTTCCCACTGGATTCTTCCTGTGTTTACCCTGATCACCGGCCCTGTGACACCCCGTGACTCTTTCCTTTCCTCTCTACAAGGAGCTATCAGTCTCGATGGCCATGACATCCGTCAGCTAAATCCAGGCTGGCTGAGGTCCAAGATTGGGACAGTGAGTCAGGTAAGAAAAGAAGTCTTTATTTTTGTTTCACTTTTTTTAAAAAATTAGCTTTTGTCATTTGCTATTTCCTTGGCTTTGAATCTCTTGAGAGAGAAGAAATGGAAGCTTTCCAGATATATTTAACTAATTTCACATGGCAGGTTGTTTAGGCTTGTAATGGGCTATGAGTTCCTGAAGACTTTAAGCACTTAACCAGTTGAAGCACTGACTTTGTATCCAAACCCTGGGGCTGACATTACCTTGTAATGCAGAGGAAATGGTAGAAGCTTCTGTTGGCTCATGCTCAGCTCCCATCTTCATTACCAGCCCCAGTCTACTGTCTCAGGGATAAACAAGCCAGGACGATGGCGCGAACCAGAGTCCCCTTGGGAGGAAACTGCAGATTGCAAAGTGGAATATGAATGTAATGTGCTCTCATTAATGAGCGTTTTCATAAGGCCATTTGGAGCAGGAACATTTGCCATACCTGTTTTTACTGCTATTCCCAAGCTATGTGCACAGCACACAAACCTGAACCGCACCTCCCTGTGAGCCTCTCCCTGTAATGAGCTCCCCTCCCCCAAGCCCTACCCCTACCCTCCTCCTGACTCTCACTCCCCAGACGGGGCTGTGGTGGGAGTACTCAGCCATGTAAGATCAGGTCATATGATTATGGATGGGGAAAAGAAGTGGGAAGTTTGCCTTCTTTTGAGGGCTACTCCACAGAGCTCTGTAAAAATGTGCTCCCATCTGGTTTGTGTGTGTTTCAAAAAGTAATGGATGAAGATGCATTCCTCCTTTGTCCTTAGTGGAAGGCAGTTCTCACATTTACTGTGATGGTCCTCCCTGGAGGGTGCCACGTGGGCATTTGCCACAGGGTCTCATTTCTCCTGTTTATGATAATATTTGAGCCTTATTATTATTATTATTATTTGAAAGGCAGAGTTACAGAGGGAGAAAGGGAGAGACAGAGAGAGAGAGGTCTTTTATCTGCTGGTTCATTTGCCACATGGCAGCAATATACAGGGCTGGGCCAGGAGCTTCTTCCAGATCTCCCATGTGGGTGCAGGGGCCCAAGCACTTGGGCTGTCCATCACTGCTTTCCCAGGTGCATTAGCAAGAAGCTGGATCAGAAGTGGAGCAACCAGGACAGGAACCAGCACCCATATGGAATGCCAGCATCGCAGGCGGTGACTTTACTTGCTTTGCCACAGCACTGGCCCCGCCCTTTTTTTTTTTTTTTTTTTTAAGATTATTTATTTGAAAGGCAGAATTAGAGAAAGAGAGATCTTCCATCCAGTGGTTCATTCCCCAGATGGTCACATGGCCAGTGCTGGGCTAGGCTGAAGTCAGGAGCCCAGCCGTCCCACTTGGGTGGCAGGAACTCAAGCACTTGGGCCATCTTCTGCTGCTTTCCCAGGTGTATTAGCAAGGAGCTGGATCAGAAGTGGAGCAGCTAGACCAATGCCCATAGGGGATGCCTGTATCACGGGTGTTGCCTTAACCTACAGCACCACAATACTGGCCTCAAAATTGGAGCTTTTAAAAAGTATACTGGGTTGGGGCCGGCACTGTGGCACAGTGCGTTAATGCCCTGGCCTGAAGCATCAGCATCCCACATGGGTGCCGGTTTGAGTCCCGGCTGCTCCTCTTCCAATCCAGCTCTCTGTTATGGCCTGGGAAAGCAGTAGAAGATGGCCCGGGTGCTTAGGCCCCTAACCCATGTGGGAGACCCGGAAGAAGCTCCTGGCTCCTGGCTTCAGATCAGCACAGCTCCAGCCATTGCGGCTATCTCAGGAGTGAACCATCAGACGCAAGACCTCTCTCTCTCTCTCTCTGCCTCTCCTCTGTCTCTGTAATTCTGACTTTCAAATAAATAAATAAATCTTTTTTTTTTTTTTTTTTTGGACAGGCAGAGTGGACAGTGAGAGAGACAGAGAGAAAGGTCTTCCTTTGCCGTTGGTTCACCCTCCAATGGCCGCCGCTGCAGCCGGCGCACCGCGCTGATCCTGGCAGGAGCCAGGAGCCAGGTGCTTTTCCTGGTCTCCCATGGGGTGCAGGGCCCAAGCACCTGGGCCATCCTCCACTGCACTCCCTGGCCATAGCAGAGAGCTGGCCTGGAAGAGGGGCAACCGGGACAGAATCCGGCACCCTGACCGGGACTAGAACCCGGTATACTTTTTTTTAAGATTTATTTATGGCTGGCGCAGCGGCTCACTAGGCTAATCTTCCACCTGTGGCGCCGGCACACCGGGTTCTAGTCTCGGTCGGGGTGCCAGATTCTGTTCCGGTTGCCTCTCTTCCAGGCCAGCTCTCTGCTGTGGCTCGGGAGTGCAGTGGAGGATGGCCCAAGTGCTTGGGCCCTGTACCCACATGGGAGACCAGGAGAAGCACCTGGCTCCTGTCTTCGGATCAGTGCGGTGTGCCGGCCACAGCACACCAGCTGCGGTGGCCATTGGAGGGTGAACCAACGGCATAACGAAGACCTTTCTCTGCTGTCTCTCTCTCTCTCACTGTCCACTCTGCCTGTCAAAAAAAAAAAAAAAAAAAAAAAGTATACTGGATGAATTTATAGAGAGTGAGGAATTAGAACCAAGAAAATCTCTTTTCGGGGCCAGCGCTGTGGCACAGTGGGTAAAGCCCTGGCCCTGAAGCACTGGCATCCCATATGGACGCTGGTTCGAGACCCAGCTGCTCCACTTCCGATCCAGCTCTCTGCTGTGGCCTGGGAAAGCAGAGGATGGCCCAAGTCCTTGGGCCCCTGAGAGACCCAGAAGAAGCTCCTGGCTTTGGATTAGTGCAGCTCTGGCCATTTCGGCCAGTTAGAGAAGTGAACCATCAGATGGAAGATCTCTCTGCCTGTCCTCTCTCTGTGTAACTCTTTCAAATAAATAAATCTAAAAAAAAAGGAAAGAAAATCTCTTTTCTTTGGAAGCTCCTGAGTAATTCTGTAGATGTAAGTATTATGCTAAGCCCCATTGCACTTATTAGGTGTGTTTGGTTTTTTAATTTGAAAGGCAGAGCAACAGAGTGACAGGGAGAGACAGAGATCTTCCATCCACTGGTTTACTTCCCAAATGCCCACAGCAGCCAGGTTTACACTAGGCAAAGCTAGCAGCCCGAATCTCCATCTGGGTCTCCACATGGATCGGAAGGACCCAAATACTTGGGCTGACATCCTCTGCCTTCCCAGGCACATTAGCAGGAGCTGGTCTGAAAGCGGAGCAGCCGGGACTCAAACCAGCACTCGCACGTGGAGTGTTGCAGGTGACATGTTGGTGTTGTAGGTGGCAGCTCAGTCTGCCATTCCCCAACGCTGGACCCGATGAGGCCTGTCTGAAGTCTGTTTCTTTTTCCTTCAATTTTCATTCTTACTTATTTGAAAGACAGAAAGATATCATCTGCTCTTTCACTCCCCAAATGCCCACAACAGCTAGGACTAGGCCAGGCCAAAGCGAGGACCTGGGAACGCAATCTGTGTGTGTGCTGGGATCCAGGTACTTGGGTGATCACCTGCATTAGTAGGAAGCTTGAATTGGGAGCAGAGCCGGAACTCGAACCCAGGGCACTCTGATGCGGAATGTGGGTCTAATGTGGGTATTCACGTACCTGGGAAAGTGGTGATACCGCTGGGCCAAACGCTCACCCCTGAAATCTCTTTTGAATTTCATGGTAATTGATTTTCTCCAATTTTAGGAGCCAATTTTGTTTTCTTGCTCCATCGCCGAGAACATTGCTTATGGTGCTGACAGCCCATCCTCAGTGACTGCTGCGCAGGTGGAGAGAGTGGCTGCACTGGCCAACGCAGCCTCGTTCATTCAGAATTTCCCCCAGGGGTTCGACACTGTGGTCGGAGAAAAGGGTGTTCTCCTTTCAGGTGGGTTCGCCTACTGTTCTGTAGCAAATTTCTGGGCCCCAAGAAACTCTCCAAGGATTTCCAGACTGCATTAATATTTGCTAAGTAGGATTTGCCATTACAGTTTATGAAAAGAGCCTCACCACTTTCTGAAATGTCTGACGTGTGGATAATTTCAGTTTTATTTCCTGCTTCAAAGGTGTTCCAGAAATTCCACTGAGTAGTACTTAACCTCAGCAGGCTTGTTTTCCTTTTTAAAAATGATTTATTTATTTGTTCATTTGAGAGGCAGAGAGAAAAAACATGCAGGTTGCTTCTGTTAACCAAGATGAAGAGAGCAGAGGTTCTTGTCTTCGTTCAAGAAAGAATTCAGGCATGAGACAGAGGAGTAGCTGTAAGCAAGGAAGCAGCTGTAGTGGGGAAGGGCATGCATCAGAATGGATGGGCACTCTGCAGAAGGAATCAGAGAGGGTGACTAGCCACGCACACTGGGGTAAGCAAGGTTACATCTTTTATCTTTTTTTAAAAAAAGATTTATTTATTTGAAAGGCAGAGTTGTAGAGAGGCAGAGAGAGAGAGAGATCTTCCATCCACTGGTTCACTCCCTAGATGGCCACAATGGCTGGAGCTGCAGCAGTCTGAAGCCAGGTGCCAGAAGCTTCCTCCAGGTCTCCCATGTCGGTGCAAGGGCCCAAGCACCCGGACCATCTTCCACTGCTTTTCCAGGCCATAGCAGAGCTGGATTGGAAGTGGAGCAGCCAAGACTCAAATCGGTGCCCACATGGGATGCCAGCACTGCAGGCGGTGGCTTTACCCACTACGCCTCAGAGCTGGCCCGTGAAGGTCACATACTTTAATGGAGAGAATACACCTGCCAGGCCAGGCAGGCAGGTGGGCATCTGAGGAGATACTGAGAGTCAGTCTGTATTCAGTCTGGGGCTTACAAGGGAACGAGGTCCAGGTCCAGTTCTTCTGCCTTTGTCCTTCTCCCTCTCCTTCTCCTGAACAGAGTTTGCTGGGTGTGAAATAGGTAAAATTCCTCTCAAGGCTTTATTGCCCATTGTTCCCAGCCTGGTTAGCCCACCTGTCCCCATGCAGAGGAGGTTCCCCTGGGGTACCTTCTTTAGGGGAAGACTGTGACCACCTGTAAAGTTATGGGGTATGGACAGGACTTTGTAGTATAAAGTACTAGGTGAGGCTGGCACTGTGGCACAGCAGGTAAAGCTACCGTCTACAGTGCTGACATCCCATATGGGTGCCAGTTTGAGTCCCAGCTGCTCCACTTCCAATCTGGCTCTCTGCTATGGCCTGGGAAAGCAGTAGAAAATGGCCAAAGTCCTTGGGCTCCTGCACCCTGCATGGGAGACCTAGTGGAAGCTCCTGGCTCCCGGCTTCAGATTGGCACAGCTCCAGCCATTGAAGCCAATTGGGAAGTGAACCAGCAGATGGAAGACCTCTCTCTCTCTCTCTCTCTCTCTCTCTCTCTCTGCCTTTCCTCCTCTCTCTCTGTAACTCTGGCTTTCAAATAAATAAAAATATCTTAAAAAAAAATACTGCTCAGCTTCCAAGGCGTGTTTCCAAGCCTGCTACATTCCTATCCACAGGTGCTTTGTTTTCCTTAGGCCCCTCTTACACACAAAGGCTAATTTCCAACTTCCTAAGCTAACATTCCTCCCTCAAGAGAAGTTACCCGTAATCTTAGGGGCTAGAGTAGGTGAAGGTCTAATTTGTGTATCTTCTAAAAGGAGGTACTGCTGCTTATGGATGATCTGCTGTTGCTCTCTGTCCTATGCTGTTTGAGGTTGGCTCTGGTAAAGATCGTCCTGCATGGCCCAGAGGACTTGTCATATCATCCAGTGGGGTAGGCTGGAAGCCCTATCCCATGACCATCTGGAGCCGAATGGCTTGCATTCTGTTGGAGGCAAAACCAACAAGAGCATTGAAAGACACATGACCCAAAGAGCAGCAGTAAGGGCATGGAAGCTTTAGTGCCAAGGAAGGGCAACAGCCAGTATTCCCATGACCGGATGTTAGGTGAAAAATCCCAGCTTTGATCAGCCTGGTCCTGGAATTACGTGGCCTTCCCCAAGAAAGGATGGCCATGTACCTGTGCAGTCTGATTCACTTGAAGGCAGCATTCTTCCTGGAGCGTGGCACAGACACCCCATGGGCAGCAGTTAGCATGTCTAGGGTCTGCCTGTTTTGCAGGGCTGACTTTAGCCACCCTAGCACAGGGGCCCTCGTTGTGACAGCTTTTAACTGGGCAAAGGCTGTGTTTGGTTTTCTCCCAAAGGAGGGGCCCTGCTCTGGCTTGCTCTTGAGAGCCTAATGCAGAACCTGATCCAGGAGCTTCGCTCTCTCTCTCTAATATCTAGGGATCTACAGCCCAATAATCTGAGAAATGCTGGAACTGTCTGAAGGGCTGTAGGAGTAGGAATTTGCTCTGTGGCCTGTATCCTCTCTAGAGCTAGTCTTCTCTCCCCAGGGGTGAGGACAGTCCCGAAATAATCAACTTCTTGGAGCACTAGCTGTGCTTTCTCCTTGGATGCCCAGTAGCCACATGCTGTTAAGGGTGTTAAATGCCCAAAACTCTGGTTTTAGGCCTCACACATACTTGGCCAGGCCTTAAAGCCCACCTGATTACTATTAAGCCTAAAACCACCTCCTGTTCCTCTTTGCCTTTAAATGCATTAGCAAACGGGGAATAAAGTAGCAGCTAACTTGGACAGTTCTGCACAGGGTTTCAGAGTCATTCTGCACCCATTTTGGGCTTGTGGAGGACTTGCTTATCTGTTCCCCAACCTGAAGACTCTTGTCTTGGGCATTTAACTAATACTCTTTACTTCATAGCAGGATGTGGCTACTGGGCAGCCAAGGAGAAAGCACACTGGGCCTCCAGGAAGTTAATGATTTCGGGACTGTCCTCGCACACAGAGACTAATTTCTAACTTCCTGCCTACCACTTCCATCCACTGGTTCACTTCCCAAATGCTCATAACTGCTAACACGGGGCCAGGCTCAGCCGGGAACCTGGAACTCAATCCAGGTCTCCCACCTGGGTGGCAGGAGTCCTGTTCCTTAAAGCCAGGTTCTGCTTTAGCAGGAGCTAGAATGAGGAGCCAGAGCCAGGTGTTCAACTCAGGTACTCAAATGTGGGACACAGGTGTCCTAGACACGGGGCCAAACAGCCTCCAAGTTTTTCCTCTCTGAGAGAAGGTATGTGTTGCAACCCATGATCTAGAAAATAAGACAGTTACATGTTGTCCAAGGAGGCAGGGATTGTGCATCCGAAACAAAACTGAAGCTGAAAGAATTCTTTATTCCTCCATTTGTATATAATGTATTAAGTCAGAGGTTGACAAACTTTTTCTGTACTACGTTTTATAGGTCATATAATATCTGTCACATATTATTCTGTGTGTGTGTGTGTTTGTGTGTAACAACTCTAGCCTGAGGGCTGTGCACAAACAGGCTGTGCTTGGGATCTGGCCTGCAGGCATAGTCCTTGGATGGGACCTACAGCTTCGAGGGGAGTCAGCATCTGTGGGGAGCAACTGGGAGCAACTCGGACTAGACTATGTTACTTGAATTAAGACTTATTCTATACATCTGCTCTCCCACAATATGGCGCTGGGAGAGGAGAAAACAGCTTCTACCCAGCTGCCTCTCACCAACTTGACAAACTGTAGGACCTGCTCCTGATTGGAGGAGAGCAGCGTACTCGGCGTGTGGGCAGCCGAGTTGGGATTGGTGGAAGAGGACTATAAAGGAGGAGAGAGACAATATGCACCAGGAACACCTGAGGAACACCTGTGCAGCCCCCGAGAGAGCCGGCCGGCGGTGTGCCGCTCCCCCGCGGAAGTGGGGAAAGTGGCAGGGGGAACCGCCCTTCCACGGAGGTGGAAGGGTCGGTAGCCAACCCGGGAAGGACCAGCAGCAAACCCGGGGAGGGCCGAGCAGACAAAAGAACAGCGCAGGGTCCTGTGTCCTTCCTCCACGAAGAGGGGGAGCGACATAATGGTGCCGTGACTCGGATATGAAGCCTAGGCAGGGTTTAGTGTCATTCCTCCACGAAGAGGGGGAGCGACAAGCATCCCTGTGATAGCGGACAGAATCTGGCAGACAGTATCACATACGGGTGCCACTTGTTTTTCATCAGAAAGGCAGAGTGACAGAGAGATCTTCCATCACTGTTTTGCTCCCAAATTGATCCCAAGGAAGCCAGGAACTTGAGACACTTATCTGAGTCTCCCATTTGGATCTCAGGGGCCCAGTTACTTTCCAAGGCATATTAGCAGGGAGCTGGATCAGAAGCAGAGCACCTGAGACTCCAACCGGTGCTCCTATGGGATGCTAGCATTGCAAGCGGCAGCTAAACCCACTGCACCACAACGCCGGCCCCCAGGGACCTTGTTTCAGGAGGAAAAGAGAAGACTGAGTTTGTATTGCTGTAGAGAACAGATGGGAGACCAATGAGTAGAACTTCAAGGAAGAGAAACTTTTGGTTGAAGACATATTTTTTTTTTCATTACAAGTATTAAAATGTGTTTACTTCTGTGGGAAATAAGCCTACCTGAGACCACCTACCCACCACAGGATAGACTCAGAAACATGAAGGAAGCAAAAAGCGAGTGGTGACTCGCCAGTCCTTTACATCTGTCATGCAAAATTTCCCCTCCCCTAGTTTGAGCAACTCCTGGAGGCACAACCTGAACACACACAACAGTGCAAGGGGAGGGGGAGTTAATGAGGCTTGAGTATAGCTGGGCAGGTAAAAAGGGGAGGGGGAGGTTACACTGTGGTTACTTAGTTGAAACTGTTAGGAAGTTAGAAATCAGCCTATGTGTGAGTGAGGGCCTGAAACCAAAAGTTTCTTCCAAAAGGAAATTAACAGCCTTGGAAGCAAGCACTCAGAAGCCGTCCAGTACCTTACACTACAAAGCCCTGCCCATTCCCCGGTACTCCTGGGTGTGGGATTCCCCAAGAAAACCCCAGCTTCTGCTGCACAACACTGGGCAATCAAATTTTCTCAGCCTTCTTCCAAGGAGGGGGTAGCATCTGCCCAGGTGCCAGATGGGGCTGCCCAGTCTGATAACACTAGGTAGTAAAACCCTGGAAGGAATTTTCCCTAATTCACACTCAGCAAATCCTCTCTCCAGGAAGAGGGAAGATAGGGAAGGAGAAATGCTGAGGAACCGACCCATCGCCTTAGAAACCCAGTCTAAGTGTACCTAGGCTATCCTCTCAGGTCCGTTCAGACGGGCACCCCACCCATTAAACCTAGCTGCCTTGTTTACCACTCATCTCTGTCTCACATCAGAATTCTTTCTTGCATGAAGACAAGAACCCATTTCTCTCATCTCTGCTAAGTGAGCTCACCAGTTGTTTTGTTTTGTGGGTTTTTTTTTTTTTTTTGAAAGATTTATTGATTTATTTGAAAGTAAGAGTTACACAGAGAGGGAAGGAGAGGCAGAAAGAGAGAGAGGTCTTCCATCTGCTGGTTCACTTCCCAAATGGTCACAACGGCTGGAGCTGCTAATCCAAAGCCAGGAGCCAGGAACTTCTGGGTCTCCCACATGGGTGCAGGGGCCCAAGGACTTGGGTCATCTTCTACTGCTTTTCCACACCATAGCAGAGAGCTGGATTAGAAGTGGAGCAGGCCGGCGCCGTGGCTCACTAGGCTAATCCTCTGCCTTGCGGCGCCGGCACACCGGGTTCTAGTCCCGGTTGGGGCGCCGGATTCTATCCCAGTTGCCCCTCTTCCAGGCCAGCTCTCTGCTGTGGCCCGGGAGTGCAGTGGAGGATGGCCCAAAGTGCTTGGGCCCTGCACCCCATGGGAGACCAGGATAAGTACCTGGCTCCTGCCATCGGATCAGTGCGGTGCACGGGCCGCAGCGTACCGACCGCAGCGTGCCGGCCGCGGCGGCCATTGGAGGGTGAACCAACGGCAAAGGAAGACCTTTCTCTCTGTCTCTCTCTCTCACTGTCCACTCTGCCTGTAAAAAAAAAAAAAAAAAAAGTGGAGCAGCCAGGACTCGAACCAGCACCCACATGGGATGCCGGCACTGCAGGCAGTAGCTTTCCCTGCTACACGACAGCTCTGGCCCCAGTGTTTTGTGTTTTTAACTTTGCTGTTGGAGACTAGACCCTGGCGTCATGGCTGTACTTAGGCTAAGCTAAGTTCTTATAAAAACACACTATTGGTTTACTTTTAACACTCGTGAGCTGTCAAGCCCCATGTGTCTGGAAGTGTTTGAGCAGAGTGAAGGTTGCCAGGGTGGACTAGGGTAAGAGTACTTTCCAACTCCGAACTTTTTGCTTGAAGTTAGACCACAGGAAAACGTAAACCAAAAAGGTTTTGAGTTTATTGTGTGCATTTTTTTAACTACAGGCAGTAGATGAATAGATGGTTATGGTTTTGGTTTTGGTCATTTTGGGACATTCTGTGAGTAGAACTACGCATTGCTAGGTAAAAATGAACAGCTACTGTGTTAGGTTTTAGGATTTTAGGGTTCAAAGAAGGAGAAGAGGCGGCTAGTTAGGGAACACTTTATTTTGGGGGCACAGAATTGGAGGGTAAAGAGAGCCTGCCTGGACAGAGGGCAGGGGTTTGAAGCCAGGCTTCATTCCGTCTGAGCAGCAGGCAGAGTCCCTCCCTAAGCTGCTTGTTGTGGCGGTGCAGAGCGCCACAGGGACCCTGATAAGGTGGGTGCGGGGGCGTGCAGAAGGGCTCTTACAGTGCACTGGCTTAGCAGTTTGGAATGTCCCCAGGAGAGGGGCTTCCCTGCGCCAGCAACATTCCAGCAGCCCTTACATTATCTACCTGCACCCCGTTTCATCAGGTCCGGGGGTTCAGGCCCAGCGTTCTCACCTGCTGTATCTCTGAAACAGGGCAGAAAGCCAGTTGAAGCTGCTTGTGGCAAAACTGCTGAGCCCTGCCTGAGGGGGGGTGGTCTCCCAAGCGAGAGCTCACATTCTGTGTGCCCTGCCCTGTAGGGGACTCTGCAGCTGCATTTCAGAACCAGAGAAGCAAAGCTCCCGCCTGTGCTTGCTTTCTGAGAGGAAGCGAGGACACAGAACAGCAGAGGCCCTGTGTGCTGCTTGGTCTGGGCAGGCGCACAGCACAGCACAGCCATCTGCTGACCTGCCAGAGGGCCAGAAGGAAAGGGCTGCCTCCCGAGAGCTGCACAGCGCTGGCGAAATGGGAACTTCAGCCAAGAAGCAGGGTCAGCCAATAAGGTCACCCAAAAAGGAAGGCTTTTCATCACCCAGAGTGGCTCTTGGGTTTTATAAAACAGCCTAAGTCGGGAGGAGCGGGCCCTCAGAGACTTTCTGAGGGTGACTCGTGTCCCGTGGAGGAAAGGGAAGGGGGCAGTGTGAGACAGAGCTGGCAGGGGCAGCAGCACAGCCTTCGCTGTCCCCTGTCCTGCCAGCTGCCCTGCCACCTCCAGTTTGTTCCCTTGCTTCTCGTAGAATTTGAGGGGGAAGTAGAGGGCCTCTCTGCGACCTCATGTCACACACAACACGCTGTTTGTGCCTCTAGGGGAGGGAAGTACAGCAGTGCAGTGGCACATCCCGGCATCGCTGGCGCGCCTTGCTCCCAGGCGCTCAAGCACCAGTGTGTGAACTTCAGGTCCTTGAGCTTCTGGTTTCCTCGCGACGCTGGCTGTTCCATTAGCGAGGAAGTGTGTGTGTGGTTGAAAGGGTAGCCCTCGTGCTGTGTAGGTCCAGATCTGGGCTCTGCTGCTTGCTTGCTGGGAGACCCTGGACGTGTTATTTTGTGCTTCAGTTGTTCATCCTCAAAGGGGGAATGATCGTAGGGTCTTCCTCATAGGATTTCTGTCAAGATCAAATGAATAATGCATGTGATGCATTTAGAAAATGTCAATAAATGAGAGCTATGATAATTATTACCAATTTTGAGATTGATGAGGAGACAATATATTTGAAAAGTAGGTTACTGTTTCACCACCTAGCTCAACTAAGACTAACTAGGAGAATTTCCCCTTAAGTAGCCACATGGCTTATTAGCAAAGCCTCTTACCAGTCAGTTTTGTTAAGGCCTTCTTTTCTTTTGTTTTTCTCAGGTGGGCAGAAACAGCGGATTGCAATTGCCCGTGCTCTGCTTAAGGTAAGCCTAAGCTAGTTGGCTGGGTTGAGGTTGTTTTTGTTTTGCTTTGTTTGTATTGTTTTAAATTAGGAACCTTGTAATTTGTAATTTACTATTTTTCTTCTTTCTTTGGATGGGGATGGTAAAGATCTGGTTGACAGTTATGGTGAAAGAGAAGTTGGCAGTTCCCTTGGGTACATGTTCTCCAAATTTAACAAATTTTTTTTCTTTCTTCCTTTATTCTTTTTCTTTCCTTTCTCTCTCTCTTCTTTTTTGAGATTTATTTATTTGAAAGGCAGAGTTGCAGAGGGAGAGAGATCTTCCATCCACAGGTTCATTCCCCAAATGGCCAGGCAAGGCCAAAGCCAGGAGCCTGGAACTGCATCCAGGTCTCCCACGTGGGTGGCAGGGGCCTAAGCACTTGGCCATCTCTGCTGTTTTCCCAGGTGCACTAGCAGGGAGCTGAGTCAGAAGCAGAGTACAAGGACTCCACCTGGTAGGCATGTGGGGTGCTAACTTTGCAGGCTGCAGCATAGCCTGCTGCACCACAGCCTGCTGCACCACAGTGCTGGCCCCAGCGAGTGTTTGTTAGGAATCATGAGCCCCGGAATGTGCTAGAGCTGCAGAGGGAAGGAAGTGTAACGCAGGGCCTCCCATCAGGAAGCATACAACCTACGGAAACAGTGACTGTCGATTCAAAATAGCAAACCAGTGCCATGTCTGTATCGTCTGCAGTCAGCTGCTCAGTTGAATGACTAGGACAGACTTAACATCTAAGCCGGGCTCCTAAGGGAGGGAAGAGCCATTTTAGCTGAAAGTTACCTATTTTTAAAGAAATGAAAGGCTTCCCCTTGTCTCTTTTGGGTTGTAGATTATTTAAAAATAAGAAACACTGTTGGGGCCTGAGCCATGGTGTAGCAAGTAAAGCTGCCACCTGCAGTGCCGGCATCCCATATGGGCACCGGTTCCAGTCCTGGCTGCTCCACTTCCGATCCAGCTCTCTGCTATAGCCTGGGAAAGCAGTGGAAGATGGCCCCAAGTCCTTGGGCCCCTGCACCCACGTGGAAGACTCAGAAAAAGCTTCTGGCTCCTGGCTTCAAATTGGCCCAGCTCCAGCCATTGTGGCCATCTGGGGAGTTGAACCAGTGGATGGAAGATCAATTCCCTCCCTCCCTCCTTCCTTCTCTCTCTCTCTGCCTGTCACCCTGCCTTTCAAATAAAAATAAATAAATAAATATATAAGTAACACTGTTGAAGCATAGTTTATACACCATAATATTCACTCATTTTAAATGTATTTTTCAGTGACTTTAGCAAATTTACAGAGCTGGCTTATACACAATTTCAGAGTATTTCTGTCATCTCAAAAAGATCCCTCATGCTCCCTTGCCGTCCTTCCTGGCTCACATCCCTGGTCCCAGGAGGCCATGAAACTGCTTTCTGTTTATCTAGACTTGCTGTTCTGAGCGTTTCAGATAATATATGGTCTTTGGCATCTGGCTTCTGTTACATATTATTGTGTTTTCACATACCTCTGCTTCCTAGCCTGCAGCAGCTCTTCTTTCTCTATATGGCTGAGATGTGTTAGTGTACTCCTGTTTATCCAGTCACTGGTGATGCACATTTGGGTTGTTTCCAGGTTTGGGCTGTTGTGAATAATATAGGAAAGAAATGTCTTCACCTTTTTGTGGGGATGTGTGTTTTCATTTCCTATAGACATATTCTGTGCAAAGCAAGAATTTAAGGTGTTATATATACCAGCTCACTCTTAACTCTTCCATCCTGTGGTTCACTCCCCAAATGACCACACAGCCAGGGCTGGGCCAGGTTGAAATCCATCCTGATCTCCCACATGGGTTGCAGGAGCTCACATACTTGAGCCATCATCTGCTGACTCCCTGGCACATTAGCAGGGGGCCGGATTGGAAGCAGAGTAGCTGGGACTTGAATTGGCAGTCTGGATATGGGACGATGGCATCCCAAGAAGCAGTTTAACCTATTGTGCCACAGTGCCTCTTCTTTTTTTGTAGTAGTAGTTTTACTGAGATATAATTCACACACTATATCACTTACTTATTTAAAGTAAAAATAACATGGGGCTGGCAATCTGGTGTACTGGGTAAAGTCACCATCCACAGTGCCAGCATCCCATACTCAGCGCCAATTTGAGTCCCGGCTGCTCCACTCTGACCCAGCTCTCTGCTATGGCCTGGGAAAGCAGCAGAGGATGGCCCAGGTCCTTGGGCCCCTGCACCCACATGGGATACCTGGAAGAAACTCCTGGCTCCTTGTTTTGGATCAGCTTAGCTCCAGCTGTTGCAGCCATTTGGGGGCTGAATGAGTGGATGGAAGATGTCTTTCTCTCTGTCTCTCCCTTTCCTCTCTCTGTAATTCTTTCACATTAATAAATACCTTTTTTAAAAAAAAATTTTTACTTATTTGAAAGTCAAAATTACAGAGACGAGAGGCAGAGAGAGGGAGAGGTCTTCCATCTGCTGGTTCACTCCCAATTGACTGCAACGGCTAGATCTGCACTGATCCAAAGCTAGGAGCCAGGAGCTTCCTCCAGGTCTCCCATGCTTCTTCCTGGTCTCCCACATGGGTGCAGGGGCCCAAGGACCTGGGCAATCTTCCACTGCTTTCCTAGGCCATAGCAGAGAGCTGGATCGGAAGTGGAGCAGCAGGTCTCGAACTGGCACCCATAAGGGATGCTGGCGCTTCAGGCCAGAGCATTAACCTGCTGGGTCACAGTACCAGCTCCCAATAAATAAATCTTTAAAAAAAAAACATACAACTCAGCATGGTTTAGCATATTCAGAGTTGTATGTCTATCACCATCATTAATAATTTTATTACATCTCAATCACCCCCAGAGTCCCTCTGCCCTTCAGCAGCCACACATACCCTCTTGCCTATTGCAAACATTTCGCATAAGTGAAACGTACTATGTGGCCCCTTGTGTCGGCCTTCTTCCTCTTAGCTTGTTTCCAAGGTTCATGTACATTGCAGATGTGCAGAATTTCATTTCTTTGTGTTGCTGAAAGTTTTTCTAATTTTTTTTCCTTCTTCAGAACCCCAAAATCCTTCTCCTAGATGAAGCAACCAGGTGAGAATATCTTAATCAAATATGTGATTAATTGTATTCAGCCAAATCCTGGGTCTATGAAACCTTCTCATTCTGTACTGCAAATTACAGAGTGAACAATTGAAAATGCTCTTCCCCCTTGTCCTTTAAAGCGGTAGAGACTGAATGGAAATCGACAGCTGAGAGGCCAAGGGCAGACTGAGTCGTACAGCTGGGGTTCTAGTACCATCACACGTGGGACGCATCCCCAGTCCCTGGCAGACTGAGTCGTACGGCTGGGGTTCTAGTACCGTCTCACGTGGGACGCACCCCCAGTCCCTGGCAGACTGAGTCGTACGGCTGGGGTTCTAGTACCGCCACACGTGGGTCGCATCCCCAGTCCCTGGCTAGCAGGAGCTGTGCAGAATGCTCTTCTGCTTTCATCACAGTATAGTTTTATGGGGAATCAAGTCCCAGGCTTCTTTCTTACCATATCTTTTAGCCCAAGAGTGGAAATTTCTTTTCTTTTTTCTTTTTTCTTTTTTTTTTTTTTTGACAGAGTAGACAGTGAGAGAGCGAGACAGAGAGAAAGGTCTTCCTTTACCGTTGGTTCACTCTCCAATGGCCGCTGCAGCCGGCACACCACGCTGTTCCGAAGCCAGGAGCCAGGTGCTTCTCCTGGTCTCCCATGGGGTGCAGGGCCCAAGCACCTGGGCCATCCTCCACTGCACTCCCTGGCCACAGCAGAGAGCTGGCCTGGAAGAGGGGCAACCGGGACAGAATCCGGCACCCCGACCGGGACTAGAACCCGGTGTGCCGGCGCCGCAAGGCGGAGGATTAGCCTAGTGAGCCGCGGCGCCGGCCTAAACACATTTTTAAAAAGAAATTTCCGGGCCGGCGCCGTGGCTCACTAGGCTAATCCTCTGCCTGAAGCTCTGGCACACCGGGTTCTAGTCCCGGTCGGGGCGCCAGATTCTGTCCGGTTGCCCCTCTTCCAGTCCAGCTCTCTGCTGTGGCCCAGGAGTGCAGTGGAGGATGGCCCAGGTGCTTGGGCCCTGCACCCCATGGGAGACCAGGAAAAGCACCTGGCTCCTGGCTCCTGCCATCGGATCAGCGCGGTGCGCTGGCCGCAGCGCGCCGGCCGCGGCGGCCATTGGAGGGTGAACCAACGGCAAAAGGAAGATCTTTCTCACTGTCTCTCTCTCTCACTGTCCACTCTGCCTGTCAAAAAAAAAAAAAAAAAATGTATTTACTGGGGCCAGCACTGTGGCGTAGCAGGTAAAGCCACTGTCTGCAGTGCAGGCATCCCTTATGGGCACTGGTTCAAGTCCTGGCTCCTCCACTTCTATTCCAGCTCTCTGCTAATGTGCCTGGGAAAGCAGTAGAGGATGGCCCAAGTCTTTGGGCCCCTGCACCCACGTGGGAGACCTGGAAGAAGCTCCTGGCTCCTGGCTTCGGATCAGCACAGCTCTGGCTGTTTCGGCCAATTCAGGAGTGGACCAGAGGATGGAAGGCCTCTCTTCCTCTCTCTGTGTAACTCTGACTTTAAAAAAAAAAAGAAAAAAAAGGATTTATTTATTTATTTGAAAGGTAGAGTTATAGAGAGAGGGAGAGACAGAGAGATCTTCCGTTTGCTGGTTCTCTCCCCCAGATGGCTGCAGTGGCTGAGGCTGGGCCAGGCAGAAACCAGAAGCCTGGGACTCCATCCGGGTTCCCGTAGGGGTGCAGGAGCCCGAGCACGTGGGTCATCCTTCACTGCTTTCTCAGTTGCGTCAGCAGGGAGCTGAGGCAGAAGCAGAGCAGCGGGACTAGTTGTGGCTGCCACGTGGGAATCTGGCGTTGCAGGTGGCTTAGTTCACTGCACCACACGCCAGCCTAGTAGTGGTGTTCTGATCACAGTAACAGCTCCCTGATATTGAAGGGCCGCCATGCGCGCTCCAGGAAGCACATGAATGATATAATCTCACAGCACTGACATCTTTGCCTCCTCCCACGCGTGTCTCTGTGCCAGTGCCCTGGATGCGGAAAATGAGCACCTTGTCCAAGAAGCTCTAGACCGGCTGATGGAAGGGAGAACAGTGCTAATCATTGCCCACCGGCTGTCCACCATTAAGAATGCTAACATGGTTGCTGTTCTCGACCAAGGGAAAATTTCCGAATATGGGACACATGAAGAACTACTTTCAAAGCCAGATGGGATATTCAGAAAACTAATGGACAAGCAAAGTTTTATTTCTGCATAAAGAAGCAATCACTGGTCAACTGAATGCGAGAGACTTAACACAAAAGAGTGTTGCAGAAAGAAAATACTTACAGACTACATGAAATCTGTGAATTATACTTCAAGTTATTTGAGATATGCCTATTTTTTCCAAAGTGTGTAAAATATGTTTCCAGATGTACCTGTTCTCGAGGCCTTTTTTATTCAGAGTTTTAATAATTATACCTTTCAAAATGTCTATAGCACTGAAGGTATTTTTGGGTTTTATACTTTGTTTCATCTTGGAAAGTTATAATTAATGTGGCATGGCACCCCATTTTCTTTTGCCTGCTGTCATATACTATAGCTATTGTCAAATGACAACTTTTAAAGGGAATTATAAATAAAAGGCCTACTTATTTTAGGCCAGTTTACTATTCATTGTGACCCATCCACTTTGGGTCAGTAGGTAGGTGGTGAAAATGAAGAGCTAATGCTTTATTTTACCCTGATAATCTCATTAAATGGACCTGCCTTACACATAGCCACAGTGACAGGGAGAAGAGAGAACACTGGTATTACCTGCACTCCGAGTCCTCAGAGGTGTGAGGGTGGAGGAATATGTGTTCCCATGGGATGTGCCAGTATTGGAAAGAGGGAGTTTTCAACATTTTGAGACATGAAATCCTGATGAGTTTTATAAAGGGAAGAATGTTTACTACCCTGAACAGGAAAATTTCTATTTTCTTTTTTTTTTTTTTTTTTTGACAGGCAGAGTGGACAGTGAGAGAGAGAGAGAGACAGTGAGAAAGGTCTTCCTTTGCCGTTGGTTCACCCTCCAATGGCCGCCGCGGCCGGCGCGCTGCGGCCGGCGCACCGCGCTGATCCGATGGCAGGAGCCAGGGGCCAGGTGCTTTTCCTGGTCTCCCATGGGGTGCAGGGCCCAAGCACCTGGGCCATCCTCCACTGCACTCCCGGGCCACAGCAGAGGGCTGGCCTGGAAGAGGGGCAACCGGGACAGAATCCGGTGCCCCAACCGGGACTAGAATCCGGTGTGCCGGCGCCGCTAGGCGGAGGATTAGCCTAGTGAGCCGCGGCGCCGGCCGAAAATTTCTATTTTCTTTATTCACATATTTCTTTCTATGAATGCTTTTGGGAAATAAGGCAGGAACTGCCTTGTATTATCAAGAAAGATAGCCAAAATGAATTTGACAAAGTTTCTATCTGAATGATGTAATAGTCAGACACAAATATCTGAAGAAATCTTGGAATTCCTTGTTATTCTGCAGAATAACAAGAAAGCTTCAGAATGTATCACTGTCCTGAAAAGAAGACATTAATAATCCCTTTTCTTTTACTTATGCTTAGAGTTTTAGTCACTGAAATGTCTAGAGGCTCCTAAAGCCATGTGACCAACCCCTGAATTTGCCATACTTCGTATGACTCCTGTTAATCTGCTGCTGCCTCAAGAAAGCACCCAAACCTTGAAGTGATTATGCTGGGTAATTAAAGTGGGAGTTTCTCCATATGTGAAGTGCTCACTAGTCCTGATTAAACTGGAATAAACCTGCTACTTCATGCAACACAGGAAGTTGTTGTATTTCATTCTCCTTAGGGAATTTATTAATGAATGAAATGGACTCAAATCAATAAATGTAGTGACCTTTGACTTACAACACATCTGCATCTGTAATGATTTTATGAGACTTTTCATATGCTTTTTGTAGAATTTGCAGTACAGTGTGGTTCTCAAAAGCCAAACAACGCATTACAAGGTTGAATCTGAAGGAAAGCCCTGTGCCATAGAAATATTTACAAAATTGAATTATTTATTTATTTATTTATTTTGACAGGCAGAGTGGACAGAGAGAGAGACAGAGAGAAAGGTCTTCCTTTTGCCGTTGGTTCACCCTCCAATGGCCGCCGCGGCCGGCGCACCGCGCTGATCCGATGGCAGGAGCCAGGAGCCAGGTGCTTTTCCTGGTCTCCCATGGGGTGCAGGGCCCAAGCACCTGGGCCATCCTCCACTGCACTCCCTGGCCACAGCAGAGAGCTGGCCTGGAAGAGGGGCAACCGGGACAGAATCGGCGCCCCGACCGGGACTAGAACCCGGTGTGCCAGCGCCGCTAGGCGGAGGATTAGCCTAGTGAGCCGCGGCGCCGGCCCACAAAATTGAATTTGATCACTATGTTTTCTTTTCTAATACTGGCTTCTGGGCTGCCAGTCCCTGTCGCTGGTCCTCCGCCTCTACAGACTTGGCAAGACGCCGGCTCGGCTCTACTGTGACGTCAGCCCCGCCGCGCTTGTGACGTCATCACTAGGCGCCCGCCCCGCCTCTCGGCTGTTCCATTTTCACCCGCCAGTCTTGCTTGTGTTCCACGACTGGAACTTCCTCGGGTCCTGTTGCCGGCCGGTCCTTCTCGGCGGACCCCGGGTCCTGGGTCCCGAAGGGGCCCGCTGGCTGGGGTCGGGGCGGATTACACGCCTCTTGCGGCGTATTTCAGCTTCGCTTGATTAACTTCCTACGGTCGGGGAAAACTGGAGTTTGTTGGCTTCCATAAAGTTACAGTTTGTATGATATTCAGCATAAATGGCCCCATTCTGGTTTGTCTGTGTGTTGAGGGCCCGCTCAGGCGGTAAGTCCGAAACCATGGCTCCCGTAATTTTCATATAACAATTTCTACTTAATGCTAAAGGCATTAGCGCTACTCCCTGTTACTGTAGTTCTGGCTTTCCAGTCTTAACATATCATGCGTACATTACAATTCCTCATGATTACACTTTTTTTTTTTAAGCTTTTTACTTATTTGAGAGTTACAGAGAGGGAGAGACAGAGAAAGGTCTTCCATGGCCACGACGGCCAGAGCTGGGCCAATCCAAAGCCAGGAGCTTCTTCCAGGGAGATTTTGGGGCATGTACTGCTTTCCCAGGCCGTAGCAGAGAGCTGGATCAGAAGAGGAGCAGCCAGGACTCGAACCTTTGCCCTATAGGATGCTGGCACTGCAGGCCGAGGCTTAGCCTACTGTGCCTCCGTGCTGGCCCCATTCTGTGTGATCTTGACATAGCAGTTCAGGAAGCCATTAGTTTGTTCATTAAAGTTCTAGAATTTCTTACCCAGCCCAGTGGTATGATCGTAGTTCCAGAAATTGACATTAGAGTTCTTTTGTAAATCTCTTTAAAGAAAAAGTAACCCTGGACTGTGGCTCTTTGTAGATGCTTCAAAACCACTGTCTGTCTATGACAAATACTTAGAACAGCCATGACTGGAAATAGGGCAGTTCATTATAACCAGCCATTGACAAAATGTAGTTCTTCCTGTGACATTCATAAAAACGAATTCAGACTGATAACATTAGATTTATAGGAATCTCATATAATTTTTGGAATACTCACGTCAATAGGGCATCATAAATATAGCTTAAAGTTTAGCAGTACTTACTGTTTGGTAATGCTTCTAATGTAATTTAACATACAAGTACATCCCTTGTGACTTTCCAGAGATCCAACTGGAAAATCCCAAATTCAAGGTCAAAATCAAAAAGACCCCAGTTGGAGTTTTATTTGGGCATGCTTGTCAAAAATGTTAGAAAATTTAAAACATTTAATTAGATATGATCTTAGTGGTCTGTTTTAGCAAGATGATGAAAGATTTTAAAGGCAAATATATTTTGCCTTTCATGACTGTGAACAGAAACTTTACGCATAAGAAGAAGACACACTTTTCTTAAATGTAGAAGCTGAGAGAAGCTTAAGGATCTGATGTCCAGTTTCCTAAGTCCTGAAAATCTTTTTTTTAAATAGAAAATACATTTAAATACACAGTATCCATGAGCCAGTGGTGTTAAATATTGATTTATTTGAAAAGCAGAGTTAGGGAGGGATGGAGAGAAAGAGATCTTCCATTCACCGATTCACTCCCCAAAATGGCCACAACGGCCAGAGCTGGGCTGCTTCAAAGCCATGAACCAGAGTTTCTTCCAGGTCTCCCACATGGGTGCAGGGGCTCATATGGGCCATCCTCTGCTGCTTTCCCAGACACATTAACAGGGAGCTGGATTGGAAGTGGAACAGCCGGAACTTGAACCACCACCCGTATGGGATGGCAGGGTCACAGACGGAAACTTTACCACCACAACACCGGCCCCAATCCAATGGTTTTTTTTCACGGTTACACTTCGTGTTGTTTATCAAGATACCTCTATCGTGTAAATATAGATAAAAATTAGGATAATGATCCATTGTACGTGATAAATGAAATAGTATGGTTTCTTTCCTTAGAGGAACGCCTACACATATATTCCCACAGCACTCCATATCTGAGACTGTGAACTACGATGTCAAGACATTTGGATCTTCTCTCGCTGTCAAAGTCATGGAAGCCCTAACAGCTGAAGGTAGGCATCGTCTTTCCACTCGCCTCTGTTAGCAGTTCTGATTGGAGCCCAGATCTGCCATGGAGATGGGCATTCGTGCTTCCTCTGGAATACCTACACTTAAGCCAATAGAAATGGCTAGCTGTCTAGTGTTTCAACTGTAATTGAGATACGTAATGAATTTGAGAAACAGTATGAGTTCATTGTAGCACAGTCACATTCAGTCTTAAGTGGCTTTAGGTACCGTATATGAATAGTTAGTCCAATTTGAAAAGTTGATTGGGTATATGAAGTTTAGTTTTAAAAAAAAAGGAGTGCCATGTGTCACTTGGCAGTACAGTCAAGTCCTACCTCCATTTCTGGATCCTGTGTAGTACCCAAGAGGCTGTGTACACAAATTCATGAGGTTACCACTGTGATGTACCTTTAGAAGGTTCTGTTGGCAGAGAATTAATGTGGCAGTTGGAAGATGCAAAGAATGTAACCTTAGAAAATTAACATTAAGGGGCCAATAGTGGCAAAGTGGGGTAAGCCAACACTTGCAGCACTGGCATCCAGTATCAGATTGTGAGTCCTGGCTACTCCACTTCCTGTCTGCTCCCTGCTAAGTGACCGGGGAAGGCGGTGAAAGAGGACCCAAGTGCTTGCATTCCTGCTCTCCATGTCAAAAGACCCAGATGGGGCTCCTGGCTCCTGGCTCCTGCCTGGTCCACACTCAACTGTTCTGGACCATTTAGGGAGTGAACCTGCTGATGGAGCATTTTGCTCTCTTTCCATCTCTGTCACTCTGCCTTGCAGATAAAGAAAGACAACTTGAAGGATCAGGAGTTGGGCGACAGAGTAACAACAAAATTCAGTGTCCTCAGCATCTGCCTAAGTCATTTCTATTAAGGAATCCATTCCAGATCTTTGTGTTTTTCTAGAACAGTGTTTTTCACTGTGGTGACTAAAAAGTAGTTTAGCGGTTCATGGCCAGCATTTAAAAAAATAATAAATGGAATAAAACGCAAAATATCAGAGTCAATCTCCAGTAATACTATTTATACCATGAAGAACAGTTTTGAAAAAGTTTAAAATACTTTGTTCTAAAGGAAGGAATATTTCTCACCAACTTGAACTTTTACATCTTTGCCCGTAAGTCCTTGGGGCTTTTGTTTCCAGACAACTAAACTGCTAACCTCTGTCATGCATTGTTTTAAATAAATAAATAAAGATTATATGTGTGTGTGTGTGTCAGTTTAAAATGTGATTAAAATTTCAATTTAAAATGTGATTAAGGGGCTGGCGCTGTGACATAGCAGGTTAAGCCATGGCCTGCAGTGCAGGCATCCCATATGGGCACTGATGCTCCACTTCCGATCCAGCTCCCTGCTAATGCACCTGGGAAAGCAGTGGAAGATGGCCCAGATCTGGAACCCTGCACCCACGTAGGAGACCAGAAGAAGCTCTTGGCTCCTGGCTTTGGTCGTAGCGACCATTTGGGGAGTGAACCAGCAGATGGAAGATTTTTCTGTATTTCCTCTCTCTCTCTCTTACTCTACCTTTTGAATAAATAAATAAATCTTTTTTTTATTTTTTTACATGATTAAACCTTTTAACCTACTCCTGGTCCATGCCATCAGACTATGTTAGTAACAAATAATACATACATAGACTCAAATCTAGAAATTCAGAGGAGCAAGTCTCTTTATTTTTTTTATTTTATTTTTTTGACAGGCAGAGTGGACAGTGAGAGAGAGAGACAGAGAGAAAGGTCTTCCTTTGCCGCTGGTTCACCCTCCAATGGCCGCCGCGGCCGGCGCACCGTGCTGATCCGATGGCAGGAGCCAGGTGCTTCTCCTGGTCTCCCATGGGGTGCAGGGCCCAAGGACTTGGGCCATCCTCCACTGACTCCCGGGACACAGCAGAGAGCTGGCCTGGAAGAGGAGCAACCAGGACAGAATCTGGCACCCCGACCGGGACTAGAACCTGGTATGCCGGCGCCGCAGGCAGAGGATTAGCCTAGTGAGCCACGGCACCGGCTGCAAGTCTCTTTAAAAATAAGAATGTGTAAACTGAACAGGCGTGTGAACCTAAGACTTCTTCCCTGCATGGGAAAACTACCAAGCTCTGTGTAAGTCAAGCCCTTAAAGACTCTCCCTTCAGGGATCTAGAGCTACTGCAGTGCTTTCAGGAAAATGAAATTACTGCGTAGATGTTCCAGTTCGCTA